GGCCCCCCAGAGGCCTCTCAGACGGCCCAAGAGGCCTCCAAGAGGTCCTCCAGGAGGGCCCGAAGAGGCCAAAATCATTTTTTGGCCTTAGGTTTTTGAAGGATTTTCGAATCTGCTTCTTCTCGGCAGTCCGACGGCTCAAGACAGCCCAAAATGCCCCCAAGATCGCCCAAGAGGCCCCCAAGATGGACCCATGACTGCCCAAGTGGCCTCCAAGATGGCCCCAAGAGGGCCCCAAGACGGCCCAAGAGGCCTCCAACACGCCCAAGATGGCCTCCAAGACGCCCAAGATGGCCTCCAAGACGGCCCCGAAGCGCCCCAAGAGGGCCCCAAGTCGGCCCAGAAAAGGCCCCCAAGACGGCTCCCGACGGCGTCAGACGTGCCAGGAACCCACCAAGATGGCCGAAGTCGGCTCGAAGCTGGCCGAAGACGGCCCAAGATGCCCCCAAGAGGGCCTCCAGGAAGGCCAGGAGAGGCCAAAAACATTGATTGTCTTACGGTTTTTGACGGATTTTGACATTTGCTTCTTTTCGGCCTTCCGACGGCCCGACACGGCCCAAGAGCCTCCAAAGATCGCCGAAAGATCGCCCAAGAGGCCTCCAAGACGGCCAAGATGACTTTCAAGATGCCCACGTGTTCCCCGAAGGCTTTCCAAACCGATTCGGGAAACACATGGTCCGATGGCTTGGCAGGTCTGGCCTCAACGTTCGGCCACACAGGCGCTTCCAAAAAGGCAGGGGGCGGCGGTGGTTCACCGTAGGCGTCTTCGTTCCGCCGCCCCCTGTCGATTCATCGCAGGGGTGCCTGGCGTGCTGGATCTCTTCGGTTGTGGTTCTTTTTCGAAAAGAACTCTCCCAATGGGTTTCGGCCCGTCCCGCCGGCCGCCCCCCAAGACCCGCAAGACGCACACGCCATCGCCCAATCCCTCCAACGTCCCGAAAAAAATCCTCCAAGACGGCTCAAGATGGCGTCCGAGATGGCCACGTTGGCCCAAGATGGCCTCCAAGATGGCCTCCAAGTCCGCCCAGGATGGTCCAAGACGGCCTCCAAGACGACCCAAGAAAGTCCAAGACGGCCCAAGACGGCCCAAGAGGCCCCCCAGAGGCCTCCCAGACGGCCCAAGAGGCCACCAAGAGGTCCTCCAGGAGGGCCCAAAGATGCCAAAATCATTGTTCCTTAGGTTTTTGAAGGATTTTGGAATTTGCGTCTTCTCGGCAGTCCGACGGCTCAAGACAGCCCAAAAGGCCCCCAAGATCGCCCAAGAGGCCCCCAAGAGGGCCCAAAGACAGCCCAAGTGGCCTCCAAGAAGGCCCCAAGAGGGCCCCAAGACGGCCCAAGAGGCCTCCAACACGCCCAAGATGGCCTCCAAGACGCCCAAGATGGCCTCCAAGACGGCCCCGAAGCGCCCCAAGAGGGCCCCAAGTCGGCCCAGAAAAGGCCCCCAAGACGGCTCCCGACGGCGTCAGACGTGCCAGGAACCCACCAAGATGGCCGAAGTCGGCTCGAAGCTGGCCGAAGACGGCCCAAGATGCCCCCAAGAGGGCCTCCAGGAAGGCCAGAAGAGGCCAAAAACATTGATTTTCTTACGGTGTTTGACGGATTTTGACATTTGCTTCTTTTCGGCCTTCCGATGGCCCGAGACGGCCCAAGAGCCCCCAAAGATCGCCGAAAGATCGCCCAAGAGGCCTCCAAGACGGCCAAGATGACCTTCAAGATGCCCACGTGTTCCCCGAAGGCTTTCCAAACCGATTCGGGGAACACATGGTCCGATGGCTTGGCAGGTCTGGCCTCAACGTTCGGCCACATAGGCGCTTCCAAAAAGGCAGGGGGCGGCGGCGGTTCGCCGTAGGCGTCTTCGATCCGCCGCCCCCTGTCGATTCACCGCAGGGGTGCCTGGCGTGTTAAACCCTCTCGGTTTTGGTTTTGGCTCTTTTTCCACAAGAACTCCCCCTAGGGCTTCGGCCCGTCCCGCCGGCCACCTGGAAGGATGCCGAAAGATCTTCCAGAGGTGGTTGCAAAGGGTTTTTCCTTTCCAGACGGCTCCAAGATGGCCCAAGATGGCCTCCAAGACGCCTCCAAGACGGCCAAGATGGCCTCCAAGACGGCTAAGATGGCCCCAAGATGCCTCCAAGAAGGCCCAAGATGCACCCAAGACTGCCTAAGATGGCCTCAAGATGGCCCAAAACGGCCCAAGAGGCTCCCAAGAGGCCTCCAAGACGGCCCAAGAGGCCTCCAAGAGGTCCTTCAGAAAGGCCCGAAGAGGCCAAAATCATTGATTTTCCCTAGGCGTTTGAAAGATTTTGGTATTTGTTCTTTTTCTGCTTTCCGACGACCCAACACGGCCCAAGAGGCCCTCAAGATCGCCCCCACAGCGCCCAAGAGGCCTCCAAGATGGCCCCATGACGGCCCAAGAGGCCCGCAAGACGGCCCCAAGAGGGAACAAAGACACGTTCCCATTCGAATTACACCAGATTCGCGCCCCCGACCCCGCGATCCCTCGCGAATCACACCAAATTCGCGCCCCCCGACCCCGCGATCCCTGATCAATTTTGCCAGGTGCGCGCCCCCGAGGCCACGCCACGATCCCCGAAATTGTGCGAAGCCACAACCCCTTGTCAAAAATGATGCCGTGTTCGTGCCCCCGAGGTCGCGATTCCTTCCAAGGTATGCCAGCCTCGGGCTCCCGGAACCATAAGCCCTTACAAAGTGTGCGCGGCTCGCGCGCCCGCGGCCAGACTCCCTGGCAGACAACCCCTCGCGAACTGCACAGCACCGCATTCGCGCCCGGGAGGCCCACGATCCCTCGCAAATGACGCCGGGCTCGCGCCCCCGAGGCCGCGCTCCCACGCAAACCGCACACGATCCGGGCCCCCGAGGCTCCCAAGGCTCCCCTGGGCCACGGTGTCCTGTCAATGTGACCCTATGGCTCGTCCCAGGGCCCCCAAGGCCCCCAGGGCCCATTCCTGCAAATGCCCCCAAGGCCCCAAGGCCCCCAGGTCCCCCAAGGCCCCCATGGCCCCTAGGGCCCCCTAAATTGCACCAGGTTCGCGCCCCCGAGGCCACGATGTACTGTAAATGACGTCACGGCTGCCAGCCGTTTTGGCATGAGGCTCAGTACTTGCTTCAAGTCGGCTCCCAGGGATCCCTACACAGATCGGGCAGATCCCATTATGATAGAGATGGGGCTGGCGGCAGAGGGCGAAGCCCTCACGGATAACGGGCCCCAAGATGGCCCCAGAGCCAGAACTCGAAATTACATTTCCAGCTGTCTGCCCAAACGATACATCCCAGACCGCCAGCAGTCCTCCAAGAAGCCCCCACGAGGCCCAACAGAGGCCCCAAGAGGTACCCGAACGGCACCCGAGAGTCCCCAAAGAGGCATCAAAACTGCCTCCAAGAGTCCACCGACCAGATGCGTCAAACTCGCAGGTAGCGGCTGGTGATGCGCCGCCGGCGTTCTCGAGCACGGGCTCCGAATTGCACCCCATCGATGATGCATCGGTGATGCGGCGCGATCGCCCAAGCCCACCCTGCAATCTCTTGCGGCAATCTGCAGTCCGAGACGACGGCAGCATTCCGCTCGCAGGGGCGTGGTCCCCTTTGTGCTGGGCGATCGCAACGCCCAGGCGGGAAAGCTGCTCTCGAGAGGGACCAGCGCGGCGATCGGGCGAGGGAGGCATTCCCCATGGCCCCTCGGCCACGGCCCCCGCTCGGAGCAGGGCGAATAGAGACAACGGCAATTCAAAATCTGTCACCAGACCCCTTCCGTGGTCCACACGTGGCTTTCCCAAACTGGTGCGCGCAGTCACACGCACCAGTGTTGCGAGCTGCGCCCAGCCGTGGCGACGAGGGAGACCCCCCGCAGGCCAACTACCGCTGTCTCATCTCGCTCTCCTCTTCGGTGGCATCTCATGGGAGCCACCCATACCATCTTGTTGGCTCGGGGGACTCGGCGCCAATCGACACTGAGTCGACGCTCGACGCTGCCTCGAAGCTCTCGCCTCGATTGCCAGACGCTAGCGCACGCCAACGCATCCGAAAGAATTAATCCCGAGGCTCCCGTGAGTTCCGCCCGAACTCCTCCGACCCCCCTGCGCACGCAGGCCAGGCGGCCGGCGGAGGCGCTGCAGCGGCGGAAGGACAGCCTGACGCCGCCCCGCCTCGGCTGGCACCGCTCAAGGCACCCGGCGGCGGGCTCGCCTGGCTCGGGGGGGGGGGGGCAGCGCTTCTGCGGCAGTCGGGGCAGCCGATTCGAAGGCCCCCTCCTCGTCGTCCCTCTCCTCCTCTCCCCCTCCCCCTCCTCTTTTTCCTCGTCCTTTCTCCCTCCTTCTTCATCCTTGTCATCCCCATCCTCTTCCTCCTACTGGCCCTCTTCTGATTCCTCCTCCTCCTTCTTCTCCTCTTCCCCCTCCCTTCCTTCAACTCCCCTCCCCCCTTATCCCGCCTCCTGCGCCCCCGCCCGCTTGTCCCTCCCTCCCCCTCCTCTTCCTGTCCCCCATCCATCCCCCTCCTCGCACTCGCCCTCTATCCCTCCTCCCTCTGCTGCCCTCCGCCTGCTCGCCCTCGTTCTCCCCAGTCCTCCTCCGCCACCCCGCGCGCGCTCCCCTCCGCCCCCCTTGGGTCCCTGAGCCCCTGGCGCACCCTCCCCTGCCGACGCCGCGCACGGCACACCTCCTCCACCCTCCTGCTCCGCTGGCACGCGTGCGCAGCAATAGTGTGCTCGAGGACGCGCGAGGCAGCACGGGGAAATAAGAACGGGCAAGACAGCGGCGAGAGAGAGCAGGCGGCTGCGAGAGAGCGCGAAGGAACTGGCAGAGAAGACGCGGAGACACGCGAGGCGCGGGCGAACTGGACTGCGACCCCGCTTCCTCATCCCAAGCCCCGTCGGCAGGGCGCGGCCTCCTCGACGCAAGTCTGCGAAGCCCGACGCGTCGGGTGCCCCTGCCTTGGGGCAACCCGCGCAAGCTCCGCGCGCGGCGGGTCCCCGCGGCCAGCTCGGGCTACTCATCCTGCACCAGCATACCTCGGGGAGGCTGCGGGGACTTGCCCCCCGCCCGTGGAAGACTGACGGGGGAACCTTTTTTTGTATCCGGTCAAGACAAAAACGCAAGCATACAACATTCCCCCGTGCCCAGACGGTGTTCAGACGCCCCGGGGGCGCACCAGCACCACAGTTCGGCGAGGTGCCTCACTGAACTGTGGTGCCCGTGCGCCCCCAAGGCGTCTAAACATCGAGGGGTGAGCCTCTGGTGACGTGCTCGTGAAATCGTTCAGCGTGCCTGACCAATCCCACCTGCCCTCTGCGCGTTGGCAAATTACCGAGACGGTTCTTCCAACCTCCGTGTTCTCTTTCAAGGGCGGGTCGTCACTGATCCATATTCGTGAGAGTGAGTGGGCCGAACGGCCTCACACTGTCCCTGGGTACATGGCTACCATGTTTTTCTTTCTGCGGTGCGGAATCAGATTTTGTTTGTTGTCGGCCCCTCCGCGGGGCTCACCCATCTATCCCCAAGCAATGGTTTCACTTCATGAGGGCCGGCTACTTATACATACTTGTACATATATATATATGTATATATAGTATATATATATATACACATGCATCCCACCTCCACTGGGGCCACAGAAGCTGAAATTGAGTGGGTCCTTGTTTCGAAAATTTAGACTGACATCAGCTCTAGGCGTCCAAGGGGCCAATGGAATGAGCCCTGCGGAAGATCCGACGACACCCCGCGCCCTCCTTCCGCCCTCCCCTGCCCTCCCTCTACCTTCCCTCCCTCCCTCGCTTGCCCTCCCCTGCAACTTGTTGGGGTGTCTGCGGGCCCGTCTGGAATGGCGCCGCGAAAATGCCAGCCAAAGTGATATAGTTATGGTGGCGCCGTGGGGGTGGGGTAGAAATAGACCACGAAGAAATCCAGAGTATATACCCCACCCACGAATATACCCCACCCGCGGAAGGATAAACTCGAAGGCGGCGCGGACGCTGGAGGTCCGCCGTGGACTGCTCCGCCTGGAGAGCCCAAGGACATCGAATTTGTCAGGAATGACTGGGAAGAACGCAAGATGTGTCATCGTTTTACGCGACGCACTTTGTCATGCGAAACGCTGGGGTGAATGAACGCATTCCGCTTTGTAAATTACAGGGAACCGAAGTACGACTTGCACGATGATGAAGCCACCCCGAATACACACATGGCTGGGGGTGGGCGTCACATCTCAGACCCGGACTTGAGGGTCCTGACTCAGGTTGCCGAAATCATGAGTTAAGTAGCCTGGGTGTTCGCCACGTGGCCACTCGTGCCGCCTCGTGGGCGCCTCGTGGGCCCCCCCCCCCCCCATACCGGAGGGCATGCCGGGGATGCGTCACGTTGCCGCCCGTGCCGCACACAGCTCATACAACATGGCTGCCTACAGGACACAGCTTGCACCACATAGCTTGCACCGAAAAGCTTTCGCCTCCATATATCACGCCACATAGATTACACGGCACAGCTTTTGCCACATTGCGTACACCATAAAGTTGCCACCTCCACGGTGCAATCACGCACTGTGTCGGGTCCACGATGGCTGACATTTCATGGATTGGGGATGCACACGCCTCGCGTCAGCCTGTCTTGCATAGGCATCGGGGCTGTGGGCGATGCTACGCACCCAGCCTCGACCGTCAGTATGCAGCCGCGGGGATGATGAGGGGGATGATGACGAACATAAGTGAGGATGTGAAGGATGTGAAGGATAAGGAGGAGACAGAGGAAGGATCAGGAGGAGGAGGAGGAGGAGGAAGAGGACGAGTAGGCCAAGATGGAACGGGAGAATTCTCGCCCCATCGTCGAATCGGGCGCGCTCCGAGATAGAATGTGTTGCGATGGACACTACGTCATTTGTGAGAAATGGAGCCACTACAATACAAACATACCTTGTTGTGAGAGGTGGGGCAAAAACGGCCAGTCAAACAGGTGGTGGCAGAGCGGGCGGTCGTGACGGCGCAGAATGGCAATGATAGATTTGGAGTGTGTAGTCTCAGAGAGCCATATTCCCAAGGAGCACTGAAAACATGTCCCTCCTCATCCTCATCATCCGTCTCATCCTTTTTCTCATCGCCCTCGTGCTCCTCCTCATCCAAATCCTCCTTCTACTTGGTGTTTGCATCTTCCTCCTGCTCCTTTCCTGCCCCACTTGCACGGACATACTGCCGCGGATGGTGTGTGGCAAACGGAACGTGACCCGCGCGGCTGCGATTTTGGCACCGAATATATTTTTCGGGCGGGCGCCTAAAGAGAATGAGGAATCCGAACTATTCAGGCGCGACCTTCTCCACGAGGCGCGAACTTCTCCACGTCCACACTATACAGTACCCTGTGCAATGATTGTCGAATGCATTGCGTATAATGCACGCAGAGATAGCAAACGCATCACCCTCGCCAGTCTTGACCAACATGTGACGACTGGCCTGGAGAAACTGCATGAGACGATGGTGCAGTAAATTGGTCACGAATTCACCACGCACGCGGGAAGATCTGAAAACACTCAAGACGCATCTGCAATCTACTCCAAGGCACAGGTGGCACGAACACTAAATTCCGTAGCCTCGATGGGATGCCAGCCATCACGAGCATTCTTTGCGGCGTGGCGTTGTCAAGAACACGGGTGTGATGGCCAGAGGTCGACGATCCTCAGAACGCGTTTTAGAGCCAACGCTTGCCTGCTTACCGAAGGTTTTCAGTACGATGCAGGCGGTGCAGCGAGGGCCGACACGGGCCGCGCGCTATTGCATCGGTGGAACCGGGCCTCGAGATCCGACGTCGCGAAACATCTGACACATCGCCACGGGCTCGAAACCCAATCTTCCTGCGGCGTCACTCGAGTCAGATCGATCTGTGATGGTCCCGGGCCCCAGAAGTGCGAGAGCGCCTCGTGTGAAAACAACGAAACTTGGATCTCAAGAAGGGAGGTAACACATGACCCGCTGGCGATATGATACCACAATCGCGTTAGAACATGTAAGGGACACACATGTACTAAATGCACCTAGCGTTGCAGTTCCCGCCTCTTGTGTGTAGCAATTTGTATCCACCGTGTCTGGACTAAACAGGGTAGCACACACACACACACACAGTCATTGGGCTAACATTGGCACGTCCGAAATGGATACGAAACTAATGGGCAGTGTGCCCAAAGGCAAGTGCTGACCAAGACCGACAGGGTTTGCTGTGCAGCATGCGCCAGGTTGCTTCAAATGCACACTGTCCGCGGCAGCACCGACAGTGAGAGTCCTGCCCGAAATGGGCAGGAACTGCTGCCCGTCCTCGTCCCCATTCTTTCCCTACCAGTCCTGATCGCAACATCCAGGAGGCCCAGATGGATCCACGCTGCGGTCGTGGCTCTGGCATGGCTGCTGCGGTGCGCGAGCATTGGGCTCACACGCGTCCCGAGGATCGCTGGCTCGAGCCCCGAGCGGTGGGCGAGGAGAGCCGCGACCGCTCACCTGGCCAGCAGCGCCTCGCCCGCTACGGCGCGGGCCGGGCCCGCCAACGCCGGCTTCTGGACTGCTGCCCCTGGCTGCTGCTGGCATGAAGGAGGGGGGGCCCCAAGGGAAACCTTCTGAGGAAAATCCTGGAGGCCTCGCGCGGCAACTCGAGCCCCAATGTACGTCGGCTCACGTCGGATCTACGTCGGGTTCACACCGGATAGCGTCGGACCTACATCAGGTTCACGTCAGATTCATGCCCGACTTGTGTCAGAGCATTGCCATGCGAACGTCGTCTCATATCTTACAGGGCAGACGTGCAGACTTGATGATACAACTATTGCGCCCACGCGAGGCCTCCAGGATTTTCCTCACAAGGAACCCAGACGTCGGACGGGGCAGGGGAAGAAGCGGCGACGACGAGGACACGGAAAATTCAAAGCTTCCGGGCGTTCCCGCCAGTTCCCCGAGGATTTCCAGCCTCGGGTTGCCTTCCAGCAGCTGCGCCCCACCGAGAGCGCTCTGGGGGTGCCCGCATCGTCCAGAACGGCTGCCAGAGGCCGGACATTTTCCGAAGGAGTGCCAGCGCAGAAAACCGCACAATCATCCGATATTCATTTTCATGTGACATCATGCAATCACGCGTGAAAAGTCAGACTGCCATGCCGGAACTTCTAATACAGATCGCCGGCATCGTCGCTATTCCAGGTGCGATAGAAACTAGTAGCCACCATCTTGAATGCGTGCTTGAAAATATAAGGCCGACCCTCTTAAGGATCAGTTGTCGCCCCCGAACTATAGCACGGGAGCCAGACCTCCAACGTCTTGAAACAGCATCGCGGAATTTGCTCGTCGCCTTCGGCCTCTGGGGGCGTAAACAAATCGAAACATCGTATGTCTGGGAACGGGCCTTCGATCCCGCGCCTTCTTGCTGGGTCAGGACCAGCTCTTCACCCCTCATCTTTTGACGGTGAGACCGATGACGGCGGAAGACGCCCTGGACCCTGGACCCGCTTCGAGAGAGCCCGATGTCCTGCTTTGCTCAAGGGCCCCCCGAATCTGGACCTTTTTCTCCAGCACCAGCCTTCCACCCAGGGTCACGTTTTCTGGTGGCCCCGAGAGGCCTGGCGAGGACCCTCAGAGGCCGCAAGCGACGCAAAAGCCCCAACGCCCATATTTTTCGTCAGTGCGTTGGAGGTCAGTAGGAGGACACCAACGATACACCTACAACCCTCCTCGAAATCAAACGCAAGCTTTTCAATGTTGGTGGGCGAGCCAAACGCGGCCCACGGGGTTAGAATTGTGACCTTCCAGTCGCCAATTTCAGCGTGAACATTGACATGTTGGGGCCCTTGGGGCGCCGCCACGTCTCGAGAAAAACTTGCGATTGATTTCGAGGAGGGATGTGCGCCGATCCAGGCTAGGCCCACCCTGGTCCCCGGCTCGGTGTTCACGCCCGATCCTGGCTTGACCAGGAAAGCCTGCTGGGAGGCCTCCCAAAAATGGGAATACCGGCAGGCGGGCCAGGGGGATCGCACCGTATCGCCGACGCATCGCCAACGCATCGCCGATGCATCGGCGATGTATCGGCGCCGTCGACGATGCACCAGCGATGTCGGCGTGGAGAAAGTCGGGTTCCACATCGAGCCGATCATCCGACCCCATCTACTCCGACACGACCTGGTACGCCTACACCTGTATAAGACGAAGCCAAAACGAAGATAAATTCGGGTGAGGGTATAACCGGAACCTCTGAGATCCCGCGGCTCTGGAGGATATCTCGGGCGCCGTGGCCTTCTCAAAGCGTTCCAGAACGCTCTGGCACGGCTTTACCATCGTCCCAGCCCCGTCCGACGGTGTGCACCAAGCCTGGACACATGGCAGGCCCGACCTGGCTCGGTGCAGATGCCAGAGGCCTCGTAGATGGGATAGGAGGAGATGGGGTCGAAAAATCGCGCCGCATCGCCGATGCATCGGCAATGCATCGGTGATGCACCGGCGATGCATCGTCGACGTCGGCGATACATCCGCGACGTCCACGTGAAGCAAAGCGGGCCCCACATCGAGCCGCGTCGGCAATGCATCGGCGATGCGGCGCGCCCCTCCGACCTCATCTCCTCCGACGCCATCTAGAAGGGGAACGAAAAATGGCATGAACATAAAAACTCGGAGGTCCGCGCGGATTTCTCGGATCGGCGCTGGACCCCCCTCCCTGGCGCGCGGAGCGCGCCAGGGGCGGCGCCAGAGGAGCCGCCAGGGGGGTCCACCGCGGATCCGAGGAACGCCGCGCAGACCTCCGAGTTCTCGTGTTCATGCCATCCTTCGTTTCCGCCCACGCATACCACCCGCGGCCTCGGGAGGGGGGAGGAGGGCGCCGAGGACTGCGAGGAAGGGAGGGGAGGAACAGGAGGAGGAGGAGGAGGAGGAGGAGGAGGAGGAGGAGGAGGAGGAGGAGGAGGGAGGAGGAGGAGGGAGGAGGAGGCCTAAGAGGTGCACGGCTGGCGCCCTCCGAGTCGGGGCCGCCCTCAGGACGCCTTCACGGGGGCGGAGGCCCGACTGCCGGGCGGTGGCGGCCTCGGCGCCGGGCCGGCGTGGGGGGGCTGCGGCTCGTAGAGCCTCGAGTGCGAGAGCGTGCGCACGTCGCCCATGGCCCTCGGGGGCGCCGCGCCGGGCTGCGCGCCCGCCTTCGCGAGGGAGCCGCCCTGGATCTCCTGATCCGCCTCCCGGGAGGCGCCGAGCACCCCAGGTCTCCAGCGGTGCTTCGGGGGCAACTCATGGGAGCCTCCCATGCCATCTTCTCGGCTCTTGCGAGTCGACGCTAATCGACGCTAGTCGACGCTAATCGACGCTGAACAGACGCTAATCGACGCGAAGTCTGCCTCATCTCATCGACTCCCTGACGCTAATCGACGCTAATCGACGCTGAAGACGGAATTAAGAGGGTATACCAGGCTCCCATTATTTACTCCCGAGCGATGCGGTCCAGAACTTGCGCTCAGCGCGTCACGGCGGCGGCCCCGGCGACGCGCTATGCTCTGCGATTCGAGCTTGTAGCCTGTCGCTCCGAACCGCGGGGCGGGAGGCCTGGAGAAGTTGCTGACACGCTACGCCAATACCTCTGGCTATATCTGATTGTTTCAGTCTTGGCGTTTTTGCTTGGCTTGGGCCTCTGGGGACCGCCATCGGGCTCCAGGACCATCCAACACGGACCCGTGATGAAACCCTGTCCCCTGGGGAAGGGGACGGAAACCTATGGGGCCGCGCAGTGGAGAAATCGCACCGCCGGATGTCTGGGACTGCGACGACGCCGACCCTGCCCGAGCCCATCCCGGGCGCATGATCGGTGTGCACGCCCTCTGGGCTTGGCCGGAAAGGGACGTGCACCGATGCTGGGCCCGGGACCGACCTGGCCAGGATCGGTGTAGGTGTAAACTCGACGCGCTGCGAACCTCTGCCAGGTTGTTGGGGCACCAGTAGAGCGTCCTCTCTGTGATGCCATGCTGGTGAAGGATGCCACGGAACCGATGGGCGCAATCCATCCAGTAACCCAAGTCCTCGTACATCCTGTCTGGGTCGAAATGCTCCCGCACGTGGGACACGTGCGCGAGGTCCGCAAACTCCTCGGAGGGCTGATCGGAGATCAGCAGGAGGCTGGCCTTCAGCCCAGGGTACCGCTGCTGGACGCGCGAGAGTAGGTCGCAAACCTCGTCGCGGGATGCGCAGCCTGTTCGCATGAACATCACTCTGTCGGCGTGCTTGCAGGCGTAGTCGAAGCGCGCGGAGCGCCCCGAGTAGCGCTTTCTCATGCGCTCGGCGATGGGGTTGAAGTTCTGCTGCGGATCCTCACCTGGTTCAACCTCGTGCGCGAAGGAAAGGCCCCCCCATCTCGTGTGGTAGACCCTGCCGTTCTCCTCGCTCCACACGAGGCAGCCCTGGTTCCACATCTCTGTGAAGCCCGAGCCGATCATGTCGGCAACATCTGACAGCGCTGTAGTGCGTGTCAAGTCGAAGGGGTAGCACGGGCCATCATACTCTACCTTATGCAAGAGCATTCGTATGGAACAGCGGTCTCCCAAGGGAAGGACGGCGATGCGCGGCACACTGCTCAACGGCCCCTTGAAACGCAAACGTATCGCTGTCTTTGCGGGCACCTTCACACGAGACTGGAGACCATGTATCGACACCACTGCCGTGCGGAAAGGGCAATCCGAGTCGTCCTCGTAGATACCCTCTGGTACCACCCGGGTGGCAAGACGGACGTCGTTCCACATCGGATGCACGTTGTACTCACACCTAGCCTGGTTGACAAGAACAAGGCTGCCTGTCCTCTCGTGGACGACGGCCAAGTTGCCATCGTTGAAGAGCATATTTCCTTCGAATTCGCTCTCCAAAAACTTGGCCACTGGCCGCAAAGTCGCACACCATCCCGCCGGCACTTTCGCCTCCGTCTCCATCTTGCCACTGACACCGAGTGTGATGCTCGCTGGGCCTTCGTCTGGACCCTCGCTCGCGCACGCTATGTACAGTCCTGGGCGCAGGGACCATGGAGCCTGTCGCTTGGTAGCACGCAGTGAATCGCACATGGCGGCCCAGCCAGCTGAGAGCTGGTACTCGTTGGACGTCGCATTCTTGACGGACAGCTCCCCGCGGGCATCGCAGTAGCTGACCACGAAGCCGTTGCCGTCGCTGAAGCAGACCCGCGGCTCCATGGCAAGGATCGCCTTGCTCTTGGCGGCCAGAGACGCCAGCACCCCCGACGGCTCGAAGATTGCCAGGTCGATGGCGGCGGCCATGCGGCTGTGGCCCTCCGTGTTCGGCTCTGCAGGAGTCCAGGAGGTGCCGTCGTCCCAGGTTCTGCCGTTGGCGCTGACCGCGGAGAGCCATCGCAGCACGGGCAGGCCGAGGCCGTCGATGGCCTCCTCGGCCTGCCGCAGGCGCCACTCCTGCTCTGGGCTGCAGTTCGCGTGGGGGTAGATGCCGCCGAGGACTGGGAAGGTGCCGCTGTCCAGGGCTGCCTGGGCAAGACCGTCCAGCTTCTCACAGAAGCGTGCTATGGCCTCGCTGGCCTCGTGGTCCGGGCCCTGGACAAGGGCCTGGAGCTCCAGCCCAAAGGCCAGTACGACCACCGTGGGCTTCTGCTCGCGGACGTGCGCCCGCAACACCTCCAGCGCCGCGTCCAGCCCGGTGCCCCTGCCCGATGCGTTGGCGTAGCCGTAGCCGTACGTCTGGCTCAAGGCCGCTCCCAGCCTCGCGGCCCAGCCCTCCCAGGAGCGCGCCCCCGCCCCGGCCGCGGCCGCGTCGCCGAGCACCACCGCTCTCAGCGAGACCGGGCCCGTCGATCGGGGTGCGCAGGTGCCTGGCGGCACGGGCGGCTGGCCGTTGGGAAAGGCGAAGCAGCCCGCCTGGATGTAGCCGAAGTGCCCGTCGTCTACCACGAAGCCGCTCTCAGAGATCGACTCCACGACGGCGCGGTTGCCCCCCTCCGCCTCCCACTCGACCCTGCCGTCCTGCCACACGCGGACGTACTTGTACTGGACAGGCTCGTCCTTCGTTGGGATTGGGCAAGTGATGGGCCCTGTGGTCCAGAGCGGGTACGTGTCTGGGGTCGTCGTCAGCGTCAGGCCGCTTTGGAGCTCCCACTTTCCCAGAACCTCGCTGCTACCGACTAGCACCACGGAGCTGCCGAAGCTCGTCTCCACGCGAACCTGAAACGTGATCGCGCAGCCTGCTGCCGTGCCCGCGGGTCCGAGCGCTGCGCCCGCCTTCGGAGCTGGGGGAGTCATGGCAGCACGGGCCTTCTAACCTGAGCCCAAATTGCTCTGGACGTCCGCGACCATGATGGTATCCTCGAGAAAATGAACCTCAAACATTGTTGGCGCGCCCCGCGAATGTCGCTTCTTTTCGCTCCTTCACTTTCGTCCCTTGAATGTCGAAGCACGCCGAAACACGGTCTGGGCCGGCGCGAGTCAGAAGTTTCACGATGACCGACATTGGAGAGTGGGCGCCAACGAAAAATTCGTACGCAATGTCAACCATACCCACAACATCAATCACACCCTTGCAGCAGAAAGCCCTACACAGATTTACGCTCTGGCGGAAAGGGTGGCACAGAGTGACTCAGCAGGGCAACAGGAGACAACGAATGACAACGGGAGACAACAGGAGACTACGGGATACAGCAAGAGACCATTGGAGAAAATGGAAGATTGCGGGAGAACACTGGAGACTACGGGGAGACCGCGGGAGGCAGCGGAAGCAACGGGAGACAGAGGCGGGAGACAACGACGGACAACGAAAGGCAACGGGAGACAATGAAACCGCGGGAGACCACAAGAAACAGCGGGAGACAACGGGAGACAGCAAGAGGCAACGAGCGAAAACGGTAGAAAGAGAGAGAGAGAGAGAGATAGGGAGACAACGGGAGACAACGGGAGACGATCGGCGCCCGACCGATTCCAAGTCTGGGTCCGCCTGGACTTCGCTTCCTGGAAACAGTATATCGGACCCTTCCTGTTCAGAGCAGCACAGCACTGCAACAAAGGCCGTTCAACGTGTAAGCTCATAGCAAGTACGGCCATCAAGAGCGTTCGACATTGTGGTTGATACCTAGGATGGACCCGTAGTTGCTCAAATAGTTGTGATCGTTGCTGCAATGAATACTGATATAACCAACGAATGCTTGAGCAACCAAGGGACGTTTCGGAGTGAGAAAACAATGCGGAACGCAAGTGGGGGCCGAAATTGTTGTAAATGCGGCCCTCCAACCAGGCGCAGCGACCGCTAACCAGGCGCAGCAACCCTCGGCAAACATGACCTCACAAATTGTTGCGCGCCCCGCTTCCCTTCGCCTCTTCAGCGTCGCCCCCTGCAGTGCCGAAGCAAGCCGAAACGCAGCCTGGACCTGCGTAACTGTGAAGTCCCACGATGACTGACTGATATTGGAGAGTGGGCGCCAGCAAATACTTCACTTTTTACGTCGCAACGCAGAAGAGGCAATCCGCCCGCGCGTCCGGGCGAGACGGGGGCACGGAATCGCGTTACCCGCATGCAGAGGAAGGGGCGAGGCGAGGGAGGCGGCCGCGAGAAGGGGGGACTGGGCGCGAGGGCGCTCTCACGCCGCGGGGCTGCGGTGAGCGGGCGGGGGCGGCCGGGCTGCAGCGTAGCCCCTGGCAACCGTCGCGGAGCGGCACCGCGATGCACCCAGGGGCGGGCCAGCAGCCGCAGTGCGGGCGAAGCCCAGCAAGCGGGGAGGGGGAGCAGCGGGCGGCCGGAGAACCGGGGTGCCAGGCTGAGAAGAGGCAGCGGCGCGAGGACCGGGGCGGGCCAGGGGCGCGGTGCGGCCTTCGTTGCAGCAGCTGCGAGAGCGGCCCCAAGCGGATAGTCGTGGGCGGGCGGGCCATTGGCGAGGCCAGGCTGGTGGGCGGCCGGGCAGCAAGCCGCAGGGGCATAGTGCTGGGGCAGGGGCGACCTGTGGAGAACCTATCGCCATCCCGAAGCCGGCGCACGGCATCACAGCTTGAGAGTAATGAGGCGGCGCCCAGTGCAAGTGACGCGCGGGCGAGGCTCCCACAACGGGAAGGAGAGGGACGGGCCCGCCGGGGGCCGTCCGAGGGGGCGCCGCGGAAGGCGACCACCAGTTGGCATGGGAAGATGGGAGGCAAAAGCGGGAGGTGAGCCGCAACGGCGGTGACCCCCAAGTGGGGCAGCGCAAGCTGCAGACAGGGGCGAGACAACCTGTAAAGCGCTGGGGCTGCGGGAGCAGGCACCAGCAGGAAACGGCCCAGCACGCCGCTCGCTACTCGCTAGGCGACAGGCGAAGGGGGCGGAGAGGCGCGCGCTATTCCCAGGGCTGGCGAACGGCATTGCAGCCTGGGACTCGGCGGGGCCCAGCGCAAGTGACGCGCGGGCGGGGCTCCCACGAGGGGAAAGCGGGGAGATGGACGGGCCGCTACGCAGTGCCGCCTGGGGTGGTTTGGGGGGGGGGGGGGGGGCCGCGGAAGGCAGCCACCAGGGACGCCGAGGACGTGCAGAGCACTCCACGCGCCTGGAGGAGGGCGGCGCCGTGTGCCAGGTAGCACGGGCACGGGCCCGGGGCCGGGGAGGCAAACGCGGGAGGGGAGCCGCAACGGCGGCGACCCCCAAGTGGGGCAGGGCGAACTGCAGCCAGTGGCAAAGCCACCTGCAGAGCCCAGGGGCTTCGGGAACCGGCCACCAACAGGGCGGGCCCAACGCGCCGCTCGCTTGGCGACCGGCGGGGAGGCAAAGTGCGGCGCCTGCCAAGGACGGGCAGCGCCGCAGCGCCGCGGCGGGGCGAGGCCCGGAAAGGCAGGGGCAGGTGGGCAGCGCCCCAGCCGCAATGGTCACAACATCGAGGAAGGGGCTGCGCCGACACGGCGGGGCAGGGAGGGGGGCGCAGGGAGCGGGCGGAAGTGGGCCCCGCGGGGAGCAGACGGAAGGCGGCAAGCGGCCATTGCGCGCGCATGTGCCAAAGGCGGCGCGCAAACTGGGATGGATGGCGCGCCGCAGGGCGGAGACCTGCAGGGCACCAGGGGGCCAAGTCGACGCTGGGCAGCACACCCATGAAGACATGGCTGCCACCAACACGACACGCCCGGACCAGGGTTCCGAGGCGAGTCCGCCTGTGGCGACAGGGGAGGCGCCGCCCTCCTCCGACACAGGCGACCAGGTCACAGAGGCCATCCCCAGGGGAAACTGCGGCAGTGTCCACACACCAGGTCGGCGGCGACGGTTTCAGGTCATCCTCGCAACCAGCCTCTCCACCAGCAGCTGCACCGACAACGTCTGTGGTTCCGCGACGCGGCCCTCTGGGAACGTGGGCCCCTTCCCTAGGGCCAGCTCTTCATCCCGAATCCTTATGTTGACGGCCCCAGGGTCGCGAGACAGCCCCCGGGGGCAGAAAACATTACAAACCTGGCCTGCAACGTTGCAGACGTTTCGAATACTGCCAGCATGTCGAACCAAACGAAGGCGCTTTCGTCCCTAAGGTTTTTCGTTACAATGGGAACGCTGTGAAGCCCGAACACATTGCAGACCCAAAAGTTCGCTGTCCAGCTCCGATGCCCCCTCGGACCTCGATCCCCCTCGGATCCCCATCGGCGTAGGCGTCGGAGGCGTACCGCCGCCTCGTCGGCGTCTTGAAGCCCGCAGACTTTTCGCTGCCGGCGCCGTCGTCGCCAGCTCGCGTCGTCGGCATCGACTCCGTCGTCGTCGGCTTCGGCGTCGTCATCGGCCTCGTCGTCATTGAAGAGACAGAAAGGTACCGATACCGCCATTCCGTGGACCTCTCCCCAGGGTGCGTGCTGGCCAGAATTTCGAGTCGAATCCAGCCGTGGCGGCGAGGAAACGGTAGCGTTATTGGTATCCTCCCAGACATTCGGGGAGCTTCTTACCCGGGTCAATCCAGACCCAGGTCAGTCAAGCCTTGCAGAATCCTGCAAGATCCTGCGCCCAAACCCGGGTCAATGCAAAGGATACTGCAAGATCCTGCAGGCTCATGCACCCGAACCCGGGTCAATGCGAACCTGACCCTGCAGGATCCTGCAAGAGCGGGCGCTCTGGCTGACCCCCGTTGCATTGACCCCCGTCTCAAGGCTCCCGAGACATGCCAGGTCCGACACGCGGCCCCCGAATTCCCGACCCTTTCCCCGGGGCTGGATTTTCATCCCGAGCCGTGCGTTGACGGTGCCCCGGCTCGGCGAGGCCCCCAAAGGCCGAACAACGGCCAAGAACCTCCCGCCGTGACTTCTGTTACGACGCGAGCAAGTCCGGGGCTTCCTCCTCGGATCGTCCGCTTCGTCGGCGCCGGCGTCGTCGGCGTCGGCGTCGCCCCCAAGGGGCCCCGCAGGAGTTCGGGAGGCCCGAGGGGCGCCGAGGTGCCCACCGCCCTGGGCCACCGCGGCGTCGTACTCCTCGGCCTCGCGGGACGCCCCCGACGACGACGACGACGACGACGACGACGACGACGACGACGAAGCGGCCGAACGACGACGTCGGCTCCACGTCGCTTATGTTGCAACTTTCACAAGCCTTGAATTCTCCCTGCCCCTGAATGTGAAGAGCCAAAAGGCGAAGACATTCTTAGGGATGCGCCCTCGAGAACTGAGGGAATGAGTAAGATCGGCATCGAGATGAGGCAATGTCAACCATTGGGATAGGGATATGTTCCAAGCTGATGATCTTCGGGGGACCACGTCTGTCCCGCCGCGCCCCTGTCCGCGTCGAGTCCGTGTCGAATCCATGTCGGGGCCGTCGGAGTCGCGTCGAAGCCACCTCGAGTCAACTTCGAATCCACGCCGAATCCGCGTCGAGTCCGCATCGAGCCCCGTGCACAATAAAAGACACCGATTGTGGGGACAGGCGAAATCCCCCAAAGATGCAACGTAATCACTCGAGGGGACCGACAGGGTAGGATAGCAAAGAGTAGATAATCAGATCACGTAGCTGGTTTTCCTGGCGCCTCCTGGCGCCGGGAGGCGCCATGTATCGAAGAATGGGCCTGGCGGCAGGGCGGAAACCAGCTGCATGCAGCAGATTTCGTGACACACCCTTTCGTTATCCTACCCTGGACCGGCTCACTCCAGGGGGTGGCGTATCCGCGCCCTCGCGGTCTCGATTCCGGGGAGCGATCCCGCGGATATGCGGTCGCACAGATACGTTCCGCGCGGGGCATCCGTGAAAAAACGGTCCGTATCCGCGGGGGCGTGGCCCAGGGTCCTGGCCCGCGAGGCCGCGGATACGGCCATGTCTTCGCCCACGAGAGAGTGTGGTGCCCTTCCAAGAGTGCGGGGGGGTTCTTAGGAAGGTGGGTTCCTCGAAGGGCCGTGGAGCCTCTGACGATGCTTCTTAGATGCCTCCAGGCCCCTGTAGGGAGTTCCGCCATCTTAGAAGGCCGCCCCCACCGCGCCAGCCCCTTGTGGGCGCCGCCAATCGTTGGCGGCGCGCGCAAGGTAAGAGTGAACGAACGACGAACGCCGCCGCTTTCGGGCCCCCGGGGGGCCCTTCACGGGCCTGGGGCCGTCGTAAGACGGGGCCTGTCTCCTGCAACTGGTCATGTCTCATCCCTTTGATTACTGGCATGCGCCTCGGTGGCGCCACCCGCCTCTGCCCGCGGCCGTGCTGGGAAGGCGGGGTTCGGGAGAGAGATGGCCCATCCGACGTCGTGAATTTCTCGCAGCGTGCATGGTCCTAAACGCCCAGGGGAAACGTCCGGGGTCTGGGATCCGGGACCCGTTGAACCCTCAAGATCCGTGTCCTTCAACTGCGAAAGCCGTAGGCTGGCGCGAAGGCGCGGGCCTGCTAAGCATCTCGGAGCTTCCGGGAAGGCAGGGACCTTGGTTGGAGGGGCTTCCAAGCACGGTCGGGCCTATGACAGAACAGCATCCTCCAAGAACACGAAAAACTCCGCGGGCCAAGCTGCAGAACCTTACCCCCCCCCCAGGATGCACAAGAACATCCATACGCACGAAGAATACGAGGGTGCCCTTCCCGAACCGACCTCGGTCTTATACCTCGGTCCAGCCGTATTCCAGAAGGCTTCTCAAGAGCGGAGCCCCGGTGGCTGTCCGAGCGCGCCAGCGGCTGGCGTGCTCGCTGACCCCCCCGCCTTCCAGGGCCTACCCCCCCTGCCCCGCCAAAGTGCGGGGAGGCGGGGGCGAGTCGCACCTCCTCGTCATCCTGGCCCTCCGCCCGTGGAAGGACCAACAGAAATTTCCGGCAGTCTGTCCTGGGCGGCGACGGAGTCGGAGAGGGGAGGCAAGCGGCCACGAGAAGCGAGCAGACGACGGCGCAACTGCAGGCGGGCGGCCATGGCCGGCAGGACAACGCGGAGGGGGCGGGCAGGTGGGAAGGAGCAGGGGAAGGCAGCATGCCCAGAGCCCTGACTTCGCCCCCCGTACCCGGGCTTCCCCCACGACCCGCCTTTCGTCCCGAGCCTTTCTGCTGACGCCTAAGGGCCTGGGAAGAGGCTCCACTGTGGAGGCCGCGACAGCAACGGAAGCAGGACGAGAGACCCCTCGCCCTGGCGATCATATCCCTCCTGTGGTACGATGTCCTGATCTTCTTGAGCGTGGAGTCCCTGGACCTCCCTCCCAGGGCCAGCTCCCTCGCCCCCAGGTAGGTAGGTGCTTCGGGCGGCCCCTGGGGCCAGGCGCGGGGCCCGCCGAGGCCGAGAGCGACGAGAGGCCTCCGCCTTCCGTTTGCCGTCAGCACGCTGGGTGTCTGGGTGCCTACCGCTGGCGCGGGCGGCGGAAAACTCCAAGACACCTCCGCCCTGTTCTCGGGGGGGAACGAAAGGGGGGGATAGCAAAGGGCAGGGTAGGAAGTCAGCGCACGTAGCTGATTTTCCCAGCGCCTCCCGGCGCCGGGAGGCGCCTGTGTATCGAGGAATGGGCCCGGCGGCGGGGCCGAAAGCAGCTGCATGCAGCAGATTTCGTAACCCCCCCTTTCCCTATCCCCCCCTTTCGTTCGGCTTGATGCTCTGTCTGTTCAAGACGTCGGGTGCCTGTGTTCGGGGCGGCCATCCCCCCAATCCCCATCGTGAGGGGGGACACGAATCAGCGGTAGCCAGCCCAGGAGGGGAATCATCGGCTTGCAATCGACGAGACATCGCAGATAGATCGGCGACAGCCCCACGATAGCAAATCCGCACGCTCCTGGGCGGGGTGGAAGAATCGGGCCCATCTCGGCGATCATTGGTCAAATGGGGTCGATGCGTTCCCCTATGCGCCTACGGTTGGGAACTGTTGCTTAGCGTGTCGCCGCGGCGGCCCTGGCGACACACTACCCTTGCAAACGGATGGCGTGTCGCTCCGTATCGCGGGGCGGGAGGCTCGGAAAGGCTCGGGACGTGGACGCTTGGGGACCGCGACGTGGATAGCGTGTCGCACCGAGGCGCGGTGGGCCAGAACCGGCGGAGCGACACGCCACCACAAAAATTCCCGACCACATCACCCCCCCTGCGAAGGGTCAGTCTTACGCGTAGTCGACACCACCCAGCCCTCCGCCCTCCGCCGCGCGCGGGGCGGGCGACGACGACGACGACGATAACAGCAACGACCACGAACCACGAAGGAGGATCGACGACGACGACGACGACCACGACGACGACGACGACGACGACGACGCCCCGCGACGTCGCCAGGCGCGCGATAGGGGCGAGGGCTGGGGAGGCGCCCGCTCCCTCGACCACCACGGCGACCCCGACGCCGGCGGCGGCGGCGACGGCGACGACCACCGCGACGGCGAGGATCGAGGGGAACACGTCTTTGTTCTCCTCCTTTGCTCCCCGACCCTCGCCACGACGGCGAGGATCCTGAAGCAAGGGAGGAACCGAGCACAATTCCCTGGCGCGCCTCGGCGCCAGGGGCGGCGTCGAGGCGCCGCCCAGGGGGGCCCGGCGCCGATCCAAGAAATCCGCGAGCACCTCCGAGAAATGTTGTGTGTGCACGGTTCTGCTCTTCGAGACAAGGGCGACGAAAGCGACGATGAAAATGCGCCGCGCGATCTAGCACCGCTCAAGATGCCCGGCGGGCAATCGAAGATTCATTTGCGCATCTGTCACGCGTGCACTGGGAACGCACCGTGCCTCTCCCTCACCGCGTTCTGCTCTTATGTTTTATGTGGACTGGGGGATCCAAAAGGTGCCGATACTGCTACTTCCCAGACCTCTCCATGGGTGCGTTCTGACCAGAACTTCGAAGCGAATCCAGCGTTGGCGACGAAGGCCTCCCAAGGAGCCCACAACGGGGAAAATGAGAGAAAGGGTAGCGATGTCGGTACCGTTTCCTCCTCTGGGTGCAAGTGACGACCATCACGACGACGAGGAAGGCGACGAAGGCGACGACGGCGGGACGGATGACGGACGCACCCCCCGTGGGTCGCCTCGGCACCCCCGCGCGGCGGCTCGGGCTCCTCGTGCAGCGGCCCGTGATCCCCGCGCAGCAGCTCGCGCCGGCCCTCCGGGGCCTGCGAGGTCCTCGCACGCGCGGCGCGCGGCGAAGACGGCACGCACGGGCGGCGGAGACGCCGCCGCCGGCATGCGCGGCGCGGCCCGCGCCCCGCGCGCTCGTACGATGGGGTCGAAGGATCGCGCCGCAGCGTCGGTGCATCGGTGACGTCGGCGTGGGGCACATCGGGCTCCACATCGAGCCACATCGGCGATGCGGAGCGATCCATCGACCCCATGTACTTGGAATCCGAGGCCTAGAGCTGGGGACTGGGCAGGGGATCGGGACTTCCGGGGACCCCGTTTCGAACACAAAACAGCGCGCAGGATATCTGGGCACGAGGGTGTCGGTGCCCCTCCGAAGCCCTCAAGGCTGGCCGGCCAGAACCCGCGCTCCCCCCCTGAACGCCGACCACAGCATCTGGTGGAGATCCGACAAAGTTTTGGCCACCGCCCGCCTGCGCGCGGGAAGCAACCCCTGCAGGCCGGAGCTGAACCAAAAAACAAACGACACCGCCCCACCTACGTCCCCACGGGCCGTAGCACACACCATGAATTCCGGTTTGGGCTTTGGCGTGGTATACGGTGCGGCCCCCGATGGGCCGTGGCGCACAAATGGAGGGCCGTATAGCTCCGGGGTGGTGTCGTTTGATTCCCAACCATCCTGTGGTGTTGGGTCCTCGTTTTGAAGAGACAGCGCCCCGCGTTCACTCCTCCCGTTGCCCCCCTTCGTCCTGTCATCGTCATCGTCATCATCATCACCGTCGTCATCATCATCATCATCATCATCATCATCATCATCATCATCAACATCAACATCATCAAAATCGTCGTATCGTCTTTATCATCATCATCGTCATCGTCGTCATAATCATCGTCGTCTTCATCATTGGCATCGTCGTCATCATCACCATCGTCGCCATCATCATCGCCGTTCTCGGCACCATCATCGACACAAATTTCGGCGCACAGCTCACACTTATCGTGGCCCCGTAGGAAGCTCCGCCGAAGGCCCCAGTGGCAGCGCCCGCATGCGGTTCCACCCCACCCCTCACACGCTGCGTGGCCCCATAGAGGGCTCCACCGAAGGCCCCAGCGGCAGCGCCCACATGCGGTTCCACCCCCACTTCGGCAAACCCTCACACGCTTCGTGGCCCCATAGGGAGCTCCACGGAAGGCCCCAACGGCAGCGCCCGCATACGGTTCCACCCCGAGGTCGGCACACCCCTCGCACGTTTCGTGGCCCCATAGGGAGGGAGGGAGCTCCACCGAAGGCCTCAGCGGCAGCGCCCGCATGCGGTTCCACCCCAATTTCGGCACACCCCCCGCGCGCTTCGTGGCCCCATAAAAGGAGCCCCACCGAATGCCCGAACGGCAGCGCCCGCACGCGGCTCCACCCCCCTCAATTCTGACACACACACACATACACACACGCACACCCCCCGCCCGTTTCGTGACCCCATAAAAGGGGGCTTCACCGAGGCCACAGTGGCCGCGTCCGCATGCGGTCCCACCCCCATTTCGGCACATCCTTCGCGCGCTTCGTGGCCCCCTGGGGAGCTCCACTGAGGGCCCCAGTGGATGCGTCCGCGTGCGGTTCAACCCCCCAAGTCGGCACACCCCTCACGCGTTACGTGGCCGCGTAGGGAGCTCGACCGAAGGCCCCAACGGCAATGCCCGCACACGGTTCCACCCCCCAATTCGGCACGCCCCTCGCACGCTTCGTGGTCGGAGGCGGCGCCGCCGAAGGCCGCGGCGGCAAGTTCCGCATGGCGGCGCCGCCCGATTTCGGCACGCCCCTCGCACGTTGCGTGGCCCCATAAGGAGCTCCACCGAAGGCGCCGGCAGCAGGGTTCGCATGGCGGCCTCGGGCCGTTTCGGCACACCCCTCACGAGGATCGCGGCCCCACAGGAGCCCCTCCGAAGGCGCCAGTGGCAGCCTCCCTCATGGCTGTCAGAACCCTCTCCTGCTTCTGCTCCTCGTTCAGGGGGACGCCGTCCTCGTCGTCGTCGGCGCCCGCGAAGACGGCCACGAACGTGTCCCTGAGCATGTCGGGCCCCGGCGGGAAGCCGTGGCTATATAGGGAGCGCGGGCGAAGATTATATTCACAATTGCAGTATTCACAACTGCGTACGGCTTGGGTCCTTCACCAGGCTAATTGATTGGAGGGAAGAAGAGAAAAGGAAGGAGTCCTCTTCTCCAGGAGGGGGAAGAAGAGGATGATTTTTTGGGGGGAGCAGGGGGAGGAGTCCTATTTTCCATGAGGGGGAAGAAGAGGACGGAGAAGAGAAGGAAGATGAAGATTTGTTTCTTCGGGGGGGGAAAGGGGAAGGAGCCCTCTTCTCCAGCAGGGGGAAGAAAAGAGGAAGGAGGGGGAGGAGAAGGAGGAGGAGGAGGAGGAGGAGGAGGAGGAGGAGGAGGAGGAGGAGGAGGAGGAGGAGGAGGAGGAGGGGTGGTCCCGCTTGCACGCTGGCCCAGGAAAATCGGAATCGTCCTACAGAAGGGGCGGAACGGCGGGCAGCGCGGCACGCCGAGAGAGCTCTCCCGGCCCCTCCCAGGGGGTCCCGGGCCTGCCCGGGCCGAGGCGGGAGCGCGCTGCCCACGGAGGCGCCGCCCCCGCAGCGCCCCGAGCAGGGGAACGGGCAGTGACATCAGACATGAACATGTCCGCGCGGATTCCTCGGAGCGGCGCTGGGGCCCCCCTGGCGGCGCCTCTGGCGCCGCCCCTGGCGCGCTCCGCGCGCCAGGGAGGGGGTTCCAGCACCGATCCACGAAATCCGCGCGGACCTCCGAGTTTTGATGTTTATGTATTTCGTTCCCCTACCGAGGGCTCCGCGGAGCGCGGGCGGAACCTTCGCCACAGGCGCCCTGGAACCCAAGACTTGGCGGGCTCTGTCTGCTCGATGTCGTGGCCCAGGGCACCGGCGGATCTTATGAGTGCATCCTCGGAGGACCTTGCCTGTCCCGTCGCGCCCCTATCCGCGTCGAATCTGTGTCGAATCCATGTTGGACTCGTCGGCTCCGCGTCGAATCCGCTTCGAATCCATGCAAAATCCGCGTCGAGTCCGCATCGAGGGCACAAGAAAAGACACCAATTTGGGGACAGGCGAGGTCCCCCGAATATGCAACGTAACTGGAGGAGGTGGGTTAGGAGGTGGCAGCTACTGGGAGGTCTTCGTCGAAAGGGCTGAGGAGAATGAAGCCCCGTGGGGGGGCTTTTGCGCTGGCTTGGGCCGCGGATGAAAAGGGATTAAGCCGGATTCAGCGGGATTAAACAGGATTCAACGGGATTGAGCCAGATTAACCTGGATTCAGCCGATTCGGACCAGGGCAAAATCAGAATTTGACCTCCCAGGAGTTGCATCTGGAGGTGGGGTTGTTGCCTTGCAGCGCAGTGTCCTTCTAACGATGTCGCATGCCGAAGACAGCACATGCAAGGAAATAGAAGGTCCACGAAAAGAGCACGAGGGCGCCTCTTCGAGATCATAGCAATTTCCGTCCCCACGCTCCGCGTTCGGGTCGTCAAGCTCCCTCTTTCGTTCACCTCGTATTCTTTCCTTCGTTCTCCCATCACCTCCTCCTCCTCCTCCTCATCCTCTTCCTCCAAATCCTCCTCCGTCACATCTTCCAGCTCCTCGCCCTCATGCTTCTCTAGGTCCTCCTGCTCCCGCTCCTCCTACTGCTGCTGCTGCTGCTGCTGGTCGCCGTTGTCGTCGTCGACCTCCTCCTCCTCCTCCTCCTCCTCCTCCTCCTCCTCCTCCTCCTCCCCCTCCTCCTCTATCTCCTCCTCCTCCTCCTCCTCCTCCTCCTCCTCCTCCTCCTCCTCCTCCTCTCCTCTCCTCCTACTTCTCCTCCTCCTCCTCCTCCTCCTCCTCCTCTCCTCCTCCTCCTCCTCCTCCTAATCCTCGTGCTGCTGAACCTCGTCGTGCACTTACTCATTTCCAGCTCCACACGCCTCCATTCCAAATTCCACTATGCCTGCCTCTTCTCCTTCTGCCCTCCGTCCCTCCCCCTTCCCCTCCACCTCGTCCCACTGCTCCTCCACCTCGTCCTCCTCCTCCTCCTCCTCCTCCTCCTCCTCCTCCTCCTCCTCCTCATCATCATCATCATCACCCTCTTCGTTTCTCCCACCGTGGGGTCAGATCCAGCTCGGCATGCGGACAGGGGGCCGCTGTGGAAGCGGGTCCTGGACCCTGGCTCTTTCGCTGGGACTGGCTCTTCATCCCTAGTCGTGTTCTGTCGGACGGCCCCGGGGCCCCAGGGAGGGACTCCCTCCCAGGGCGTTGCGGGCCAGCTGAGGTCCAAGAGGCTGCGAGGTCACAGTGTACAGTGCTCGTCAAGGCAGAAGGGATGAATGCATTCAGCAGGACAAGGAGCACAGGTTCAGTGATCTGCGTGGCCCTGGCCCTCGAAGCTTTCTGGGTTCGGTCAAGCCGCGGCGCGCTGCGCGCGCGCGCGACGACGACGAAGACGACGACGACCACGACCACGACCACGACGACGACGACGACGACGACGACGACGACGACGACGACGACGACGACGACGACGACGACCCCGATGAGCACGACGACGACGACGAGCAGCACCACCACCACCACCAAGACCACGACCACGACCACCACGACAACGACGATGACGCCGACGACGCCGACGCCGACGCCGACGACCACTATAACCACGACGACGACAACTACGACGACGTCCTCGTCCAGAGCCGCACGTACGCGGCCGAGAGCAGCCCTGCCACCTCGGTCGTCGATCCTCAATCCCCGATCCTCGATCACTCGTTCGTTCGATCCCTCGATCTCTCGATGCCTCGATCTTCAAATTGTCAGGCAGAGACGGAATCAATCAACATCGAATCTGGAAACCAGATCGAATTCGAAGTGTGCGCCGGACCGGGCCGCATCTGCATGTAGCCGGGATCGAATCGGATCAATCGATGCAAGATGCACAGCAGCGCCATGCAAGCACAGGACCGCATGGCATCGGGCTCTAATCGGGTCACAGGGACCAGAGCCGACATCGCATCGACCCAATCAAACCACAATCGACCCCGGATGTGATTTTCTAACTGAATATCTGAACTTTCCTGCTTATGTTTGGTACTGCATTGCCGTGTCATGACGACTCGTTGGTTGGTCTCTGGCACCGCGCGATCGCTCGACCTTGAGCGATCGCGGCTTCCCGATTGCGCAAGTTCGATGTCGGCCGATTCTGGGCCATTGGCAGCGGTCAGCCTTGAACGGCCCGAGTTTGGGACGCCGCCGCATCGACTCGACACAAGCCTGTCGTACAATCATCTACCTGCCAGAAGGAACGCTGCATAAAGAAGAAGAAGAAGAAGCGGCTTTTCCTGTCACCGCCAGCCTCGGCCACGCATAGGCTCCCCGACCCAGATCTATCAAAGACGGGCCGACAGCCAGAGCCCCTCTCTCGTGCTGGGCTCCACCCCGAGAGGTGGTGCAGACCCGTCGGCCGGAAGCCGTCCAGCTTTCGGGACTGGCCCGCGTTTGAGCATCGTTCAACCGATCCCCATCCCCACCAGCGTGGGCTGGGCCCCACTGGCCGATGTACCCCCCCTGGATGGGGATACGTATAGGCTGCTCTCTTCTGGTTTCGATGGGCAGATCCCCAACTGAGGTGGTGAGACGGTGGGGCTCGATATGTGGATGGGGATGGGCATAAGGATCGGTTAAACGATACTGATCGTGCGCACCTGCCGCGGGCGCGGTCGATCTTGGACACCCTGAGGCCATCGCCGCCAGCAGCGCCGTGGCCGCCACCGGCCAGCGCACCCGCCGCGTTGCCAGCGCGACCGCCGACGTGGCCCGTGGCCGCCACTGGTGCCGAGCGCCTTCTGCGCCGAGGCGGTAGCCGAGCTGCGCGGCGAGGGCGCTGTCTACGGAGTAGAGCCTGCGGGGCACGCCGGCTGGTTCGCCGCTCCGGCATTCGGCAGACCCCGAGTGGATCCCTCGCCCGCGCGCAAAACGTGGCCCAAGGGCAGGAGTGACGCCGCGGGCTGGGCCACATCAAGGCGTGCAGACACGTGCTGGGAGGACCCCTGTGGGCCCGCACCTTGGGTTAGGTTGGGTATGTCCTCCTGCAGGCAGATGTTGAAAGAAAAACAAAAAACGAGGAACATGTACGATCTAAACCTCGGGTCACCCCGGAAGGGGGTCACTCGTATGCGCAGCCCGTACCACCGCGTTAGGCTCTTCCTGGGTGGCCGTGCACACATTCTGGGCGCACGGGCCCCAAGGGAAAATCGGCCTCGAAGTCGGCCCCGAGCGCCCAACCAGCCCTCAGGGGCCAGACCGCCTGGGGCACCAACCCGCGGCTTTGCGAGCCGAGCACCCTGCGCAGAGCTCGCTGCCTGGACACCCGCTTGATGGGTTCAATACGAGTTCCCCAAGATGACCGACCCTCTCCCCATCTGCAGACATGATACTTGGCGATGCAGGGCCCTGTGAGGCCCCCCCCCAGAGCCCGAACTTTGGCAGGAGCTTCCATCTTCTCCGACTTCACCACGTGGCAGGTCCAGGCCGCAATCCGCCACTGGAGCTCGATCCTTCGACGAGGCTGCGAGCGGGCTGCCATGTGCACTCTCGATGTATCGGTGGCGCCCAGCTCTGCAGGCGATCGCAATCCCCCGCGAGCCAGCGCTCAATGGGCGCTGGAGAGCGGGAGCAACGGCTTCTGCTCCCGCCGTACGCGAGCCCCCCCCCCCCCCTCGTACCCGCGCGCGGCCATCGTGGGCCCAGGGCTCGCCCCGGGTCCTGCGCCGCAGGTGCTCGCCTTACCCTGTGGATTGCCGAGGGGCCCGACTGGGAGAGGAGGAGGAGGAGGAGGAAGAGGAGGAGGAGGAGGAGGAGGAGGAGGAGGGCGGAGAAGGAGGAGGGGAGGAGGAGGAGGAGGAGGGAGGATGATGATGATGATGATGATGATGATGATGATGATGATGATGACGATGACGATGACGATGACGATGACGACGATGACGATGATGATGATGATGATGATGATGATGATGATGATGATGATGATGATGATGATGATGATGATGATGATGATGATGATGATGATGAGGAGGAGGAGGAGATTGGAGGAGGAGGAGGAGGAGGAGGAGGAGGAGGAGGAGGAGGAGGAGGAGGAGGAGGAGGAGGAGGAGGAGGAGGAGGAGGAGGACGAGGAGGAGGAGGAGGACGACGAGGAGAGGGAGGAAGAGGACCCCTGTAGTCGCCGCTGCTGGGGGACAACGCCGTCAGGTCCTGACGGCAAAGAGGCTGCGTTAGACGCCTGGGCAACACCGCGGCGCCCGCGGCTTCCCTCCCGCCGTCCCGTCCACGCCCCAAGCTGCACTGTCCTTCTCCTCCTTCTCCTGCCGACTCCCCCTCTTCTCCTCGTCCGTCAATGCCTCCTCCTCCCCCTCCGCCTTCTACATGCCGATCCCCCCTCTCGTCCTCGTCCCCACTAGGAGGTGGAGGGCGGAGGAGGAGGAGGAGGAGGAGGAGGAGGAGGAGGAGGAGATAAAGGAACCCTTCGCTGCAGCCGTCGCTGCCTTCCCATTCATCGCTCCCCCATTGCACGACGCCCAAAAGGAGAAGCACGTCGAAGGCCTGGGCCCTACCCCACTGATCGGCACGACTGGGGCCGGCCCCGAAGGACACGGGTCCGCAACCCCCGCGGGAGCCCTCTCGCCAAGACAGCGACGCTTTGTCCCGAACTGGCGTCGGACGGTCAGGGTTCCGTGAAGGGCCCCGGGAGCCCGAGCGCGACGATGAAATCTCCGGGACATCTTTCCTCCAGGGCCCCTCTTCTCAATGCTGACCCCTGTGGTCAGTTCCACGGCTGTTCTGAAGCCTCACAAGGCACTGCGCGTCAACAAGGTATGCATACGTGTATGCACGTGTGTACGAATTCTGTGTATGTGTAATAGACTGTGGTTGTGGACTGTGCTATGCCACGGAGACTGCAGTCCTCTAGCTCTGCTATCTGCCACGAGGGCACATGCAACAGAGACGATTTCGAATAACACCAGCTCGATTCATAGATGATAGGTGTGTGGGGAGAGAGAGAGAGAGAGAGAGAGAGAGACATGAATAAATAAATAAATGCACAGAGGTAGAGAGAGACAGAGAGAGAGTGTGTATATACATATATGTATATACAAAGAGAGAGGAAAACTGACACGTACACATGTATGTCTGTATGTACGTACGCATGTATGTTTTATATGTTTGCGCAGCGCCGGGAATACGAAGATTTATTGGGTCCCTCCAGGGCCCCTAATCCAGCTGAAATCGAATCGTTCCAGCTCAAAGCACCGACCGCAGCATACCAACCATCGTGAAGCTGGGCGACATCTCGGCCGGCGCCAAGAAAAATAGAGGGAGACCTTCATAGGTGGCCACATCCGAACCCTACCCCCACCAACCATCAATTCTCCTGAATCGATGGGGGGGGAGGGTTCGGATTCCCCCACATGCTCGACGAATTGCGTAACCTACCCCCGCCGCCCATCGAGTGGCCTGAGTCGTTGATCGGCAAGGGTAGGGCTCGGATTTCGACGCCGACTCCAGGACACCCGTCTCCCTCAGGCCCCCCCTTCTCTCCACTGGGACTGGCGCCGCACCCGTCGGGGCCTCTGCGGCAGCGGCTTCGCCACGGCGTGCCCGTCCACCTCCAGCGAGAGAGCGGGGGGGGGGCCCGCAGAAAGAGGACGGCGGCTCAGAGAGATCCCACCTCCAGCGAAGGGCCACCCCATCTGTGCGCGGCGCCGATCCAGCGTATGGCGGCGATGGGAGACGGCAGGCCCAGCAGCGGACCCGAGGACAGCCACCTCCCGAGGTGCGCGGGTCGACCACATGGCCGCCCCCCTCCGGTCAAGAGGCGCACGTCCGAGCGGTGGCCAGCTTTCAAACGCTGGGCTGGCCACAGGGGCACGCCCGCTGGACCCCAGCGGTGGTGGTGACCAAGCTCTTCTCGGGAGCTCGCCCCCTCTCAGACATCCCATGCCCTGACTTTTCCAATACGGGGTCCCCAAAAGTCCCGACCCTTTACCTGGGACCACCTTGTGATCCCGAGTGTTCCCCAGCCAGGCGACGGCCCCCAAAGACCCATTATGCCAGAGAAAAAACCAATCAATTGATGGTTTGGAACGAATAATATGAATATTGAGATCGGTTGTGAGATTGATCGTGCGATCGATAGTGAGATCGATCGTGTAAGCGATAGTGAGGAAGATTGTAAGGTCGATCGTGAGACCGATAATGAAGTCGATTCAATGAGATCGATAATGAGATCGATCGAAAGATCGCTCGTGCGATCTATAATGAGATCGCTTGTGAGATCGATCATGAGATCGATTGTCAAATCGATCGATGGTGAGATCCATAGAGAGGTGGGTGATGAGATCGATGGTGAGACCGATCGATCAGAAGATCGACCAAGAACCCGGGAGCCCGGGAACCCCGCTGCGCACACGGCCCGGAACCAATAACCACGAACCCGGGAACCTGTAACCGGGAACCCGGGAACCCAGCCAGCCACCAAAATCGGAGGGATTTTTTTGCCAAATCTTTCAATGTCCGCTAGGACCACTTCAGTGCAAGCACTGATTGGGGAAAAACGGTAAGAAATCTTCCGTCGTGATTTTTTCGCGACGTGAACGCGTCTGGGCTACATTCTCCAAATGTCCCGCTGCTCTCTGCTCGCCGCCCTCCCTGCCTGGCATGCCCGCGTACCAAATCTGACGCCTCAGGACTGCGGGCCAGCCGCGGGGGGACGGATTGGTGGTGCTGGTCGTCCCACCCAACAGATTCGGATCGGGAAGCCAAATCTAAATCGAAATCCAACTGTTTTATTCGCCGGCCCTGCGCGACCGCGTTATTCATTGCAGAATTAAATCGCCTGCCCTACGCAGGTCGAGGCCGAGGATGAACAAACTCACCCTGGGCCGCCCCTCTTGGGAAACACATACAGTATTATCGTAAACGTGATCGGACGTAACAGAAGGTATCGTTCCAGCGCGCTCCCGCCGTCGGGAACGAACACCGAAGGCTCCGGTGGGGATCGCTCGATGCAAACTAACTTTTGGTAGCTTCGATGTCGAACTGGTCGGGTTTTCTGGGGACCCCCTGTTGAAACATGATCGACCCACGAACCCGGAAAGGAATATAGAAATGTGAGACATGGCAACGTTTCAAAGATACCTGATTGGGCGACGGGCACATGCAATGATGAGTGTATCGATCTTGATGTACCGTGCCGAGGGCTGTGCTGTGCTGCGCCGTGCTGAACTGCGATGTGCTATGCCGCGATTGTGCTCTATAGCGTTGTGGATCGAGTCCTCCTTTGCGTCCGAGTCCTGATCGAACTGATCTGGATCTTAAGCTCGAGTTGTCTGAGCACATCGTAGCTGCCCCAGAGCTGATTGACAGGGGAACATGCCAGGAGGACGCGCCGCGGACCGTCCCAAGGGACGCGCCAGGCGACGTCCCAGGGAACATGCCATGGGAACGCACTGCGGGACGGGCCAAGGGGACGCGCTACGGAACGTGCCAATGGACGTGCCACGGGACGCGCTCCCAGGGCAACGATCCCTCGTAAATTACGCTGCGTCCGCGCTCCCAGGGCCACGATCCCTCGTAAATTATATTGGGGTCGCGCTCCCAGGGCCCCGACCCCTAGTAAATTACGCTGCGTCCGCGCTCCCAGGGCCACGATCCCTAGTAAATTACGCTGCGTCCGAGCCCCCAGGGCCCGGATCCCTCGTATTCTACGCTGAGCCCGCGCTCCAAGGGCTACGATCCTTCGTAAATTAAATTGCGTCCGAGCTCCCAAGGCCCCGACCCCTAGTAAATTACGCTGCGCCCGCGCTCCGAGGGCCACGATCCCTCGCAAATTACGCGTGGTCCGCGCTCCCAACGCCACGATCCCTCGTAAAATACCCCGCGTCCGCGCTCCCAGGGCCTCCTGGGGCATGCTGGGGCGCCCAGGTCCTTCAAGTTTTGCCAAACAAGCGTTTCGCTTGAGATATCAACATTTTTTTGGCGCGGGGGGCGCACCATCCTCGAGCGGGCACGCAAAAACTCAACATGTTCACGCTAAATCCTGGAAGAACGAGTGCAGTAGTCGAGACATCCTCGAAATTCCTGCGCGCGGGACGCGGCACGCGCGAGACATCCTCGGAATTCCTGGGCGCGGGCCACTTTTCCGCGTCGCGGTCGGGGCTCCAGACTTTTTTTGGGGGGGGGATTCTGCTAAAAGTGCCCCGCACCTTTCTTTTAACTAAGGAAAACGGAGGTCCGCGGACTCCGTTATTTATCGAGGATCCGAGGTGGGGGGTCGACTCTCCTCGAGCGGGCACGCGTTTTCACGCCGAGTTGGACTTTACCTCGTTTTTTATCGAGCGGAAATCTGCTGGCCCTCTCTGGGGGACAATGAACAAACTAAAAGAGAACCCTGGGCCCGCGCCCTTTCCGGGAAAATGGAAGCGGTCTTGAGTTTTCAACGCGGGGCCCCAGAAGTCCCGAGCCTGATCCTTGACGGTCCAGCCGAACATCGCGACAAACCTCCGTCTTGACTGTTTTCTCATGACTTCGGAAGTGGGGCTGTCAGGCCCAAAATTCCTGCCTGTGGCGGCTGTTCTGTGCGATCCAGGCACCCCAGGAACGCCTCTGGCGAGGCGCAGATGCCAGAAAGCACCCCCAAGGCTGGAAGACAGATGGAACCCGGCGACGACGCCCGAAAACCTCCAGATCCCTGCTCCTCTTCGCCGCCCCTTCCCCGGGGCTGGAAATGCCACCGGAAACCGGCGAACACATCCCGGCACGCCTCCCCCTTCCCTGTTCTCTTCGTCGAGGCTCCCAGGCATCCCGCGTCCTCGGCTTCGTCGAGACACGCGTGGCCCCCGACCTGTCGACCACCTCCCCAGGAGCGGTTCTGCACCCCTGGGGGGAAGGCTTCGACGGACACGAACTCGAGGAAACACCCGAAGGCCACCTTTTGAGCCTGCGGCAAGAAGTATTTGCATGGCGAGTGGGGTGTGGCAGCGTGGCAAGGCCCGAGAGGAAATCTGGACGGCACGCAAGCCGGGACTCGCTTGCACTTGCACGCCCGTGCGACCACTCCCCCGGGGACCGGGCTCTCACCCCGAAGCGTTCCAATTGACGGCCCCGAGGCCCGACAAAAGGGCCCCGAGAGACCGAACACAATGCAACACCGAAAGGGCCAAGACTAAGGCAAGTCCAAGACCCAAGGTCCCAAAAAACAAGGCCCAAGTTTAGAGGCATACTAGAGCACGATCTGCGTGAGGGGTGGCGAAAAATGGCCTTCGTCCTCACAGTTGAAATCCGCCAACCCCCTTCGACCTCGTAATTTATCGCACAAGAAATCCGCCGGCCCCCTTCAAGTAAAAACCGGGGGGTAAACCCACTAAAAGAGAACCCTGGGCCCAGGCCCTTTCCGGGAAAAAACAAGGCCCAAGTTTAGAGGCATACTAGATGAGATCCGCGCAGATGGGGTCGGAGGATCTTGCCGCACGGCCGATACAAAAGCGCTGCCTCGGTGATGCATCGGTTATGCACCGGCGATGCATCGGCGACGTCGGCGATGCATCGGTGACGTCGACGTGAAGCAAATCGGGTCCCACATCGAGCCGCATCGGCGATGCATCGGCGATGCGGCGCGATCCTCCGACACCGTCTGCTCCGACCCCATCCAGGCGGCCTCGAGGAATCTCGGGGAACCTTCGCCTCGACCTCCTGCCGAGACCCGGGACGCCTGGGCCTTCCCCGGCCGGGGGGGGGGGGGGGCGGCCCGCGCCTCGCCCTCGCGGCGGGTCGGCGGCCGCCGGTGCTCCTGAGGGCATGCGGCAGCGGGGAGCGCGGGACGCAGCTGTGGAGGCGAGGCGAGGTTCTTGAGACTATTTGTTGTATACCATACCCCCCGCCCCGCTCAGATGCCACCGCCCTGGGCCATCTTAAATCTACAAAAACCACGCCCCAGGGAGGGAAGCGGGGCTCTTGGGTTAGTATGCGGACCAGGCCCTGGCGCATCGCCCAGGACCGTCAGGCCAGGCCTCCAACACGAGCGACGATCAGAAACGAGTCTTGCGCGAGATGACACAGCGACCTTGCGCGACGGCTTACGCGGCCGCCAGCGCTGCACGAGACGAGGGCGCTCACGCGCGACTTTACGCGGGCAACTTGCGCGCCAATGTCGGCGCAGACGGGCCCTTTTTTTGCGTCGCTCTAGGGGGGGTCGGGATTAGTTTGAATGTTTGCTCTGCCTCCAGCGGCATTATTTGGGGCCCCGGGACCGTCAAAGACGGATCAGGGGTGAAGAACTGTGCCAGATATGGAGCTCAGGGGGGGTCCAGGGACCGATTTTGATCGGATTTGCCATCACCTTCCCCTCTCGACCGATTTTCTCGGGGCCCAGCCTGCTCAGGCCCCCTGGCCTCCTCCAAGACTGACCAGCGGCGAACGTATCCACCACGCCCTCGCTGTCTGGACTCCTGGGCTTCAGGCCTCCCAGATGGGGTCGGAGCAGACGGGGTCGGAGGATCGCGCCGCATCGCCGATGCATCGCCGATGCAGCTCGAAGCGGAGTCCAATCTTTTCCGCGCTGGCGTCGCCCATGCACCGCCGACGCATCGCCGATGCATGGTCGATGCGGCGCGATCCTTCGACCCCATCTAGTCGGACCCGAGCTGTGGGGCCTCTAGTGAGGGGGACGGCCAAGCGAGGCATCTGGTCCCTGGGTCACCCAATTTCGCGCATCGCGCTCCGCGATGCGCGACGCGCGGTGATCGTGGCGCCCTTGCGCGGGCGCCTTGAAGGAGAGCAGGCCCAGTCCGCGACTCGAGGAAGGCCTGCTACATTGGAGCCCATGGGGGTGGTCCGGAGGGGACCGGGTCCTGATGTTTTTGACTAGCTTCTGGTCCCCTGGGTCCTCCGCGGGCCCCTCACGAGAGGCGAGCATGTCCGTAACCGCGCCCTCGCGGTCTGGATTCCGAGGCGTGATCCCGCGGATGCGCATGTTTAGTCGATCTGGCTTTCACAGTGGCTCACACGCATACCGGGGGGGGGGTGATCATTCGCCAAAGCAGCCGCCCACGCAGCCAAGATCTGGTCCATGGGGGGGGGGGGCCGTGCCGATCGGCGAAACAGTAAATACAAAAACAGCGGCTCGAATGCGGATTACGTCGCCGCACCGTTTGTTCTGAACGCTCCCCTCGGGGGCGGCCAAGAGTGGGGCGTCCAAGGGGGGGGCGCAAATCATGGCCGGCGGCGTGTGCGCGGCCCCAGGGGGGGGGGCCAGGAACGCAACGAAACAAGAAGAAGCGCCACGAAGTCTGGGGAGATCTCATGGCCCCCGCCGTGATGTCCCCCCCCCCCCCTGGCCATCATCACCCCCCCCCCCCTCCCTTCCGGCCCCCGGGCCCCAGGTGCACGACGCCGAACGCCACGGCCAACCCCCCCCCCCCGGCAGACCCTCTCGTCGCCGCGCCCCCGCAGACGAGGCCGGGCACCGCGGCAGGAAGCCCCACCGGCAGACCCGCCGCGCCTCGAGGCGGAGCCTGCCCCCTCCGGTGGCCGCGGCGCCCTCCCCAACGATCTTTGGGTACCGATTCCCTGGGCGCCTACTCCCTAAGTAAACACTCCCTAAGCGCCTACTCCCTAAGTTCCTACTTCCTAACGACTCCCTAAGTACCTACTTTCTAAGTACCTACTCCTTAAGTACCTATACTTATACCTGCCGAAAACGATTTAAGGAAAATTCTAAGGGCGGGGTCGGGGGTCAAAAAATCAGTCTCCGAAAAGACGCGGGGCCGCGCGCGGGAGCAGACGGTGCGGCGGCTGCTGCTGCTCAGCCCACGGGGAGGCCCTGGGTCCTCGTGTGTACGGTCGGACCCAGGACGGAAAAGACATCCTTCCAGAAATCAGGAGGCCCTCCGCCGGGCAGAACGCACAGAACAGCCAAGGGCACCCTCCCCAGGATGCACAAGCACATCCAACGAGCACGAAGAGCATCAGGGCACCCTCCCCGAGCCGACCTCGATCTTCTACCTCGGTCCAGCCGTCGGTTTCCGCTCTTGGTCCCACAGGGCCCTCCAAAGGCGCCGTGGCCGTCAGAGAAAAGCGGCTCGAGACGAGGAGCCGCCCCTAAATCAGGCGGGGGCCCCCATGTAGGGTCTCGGACCCGCTTCCTGTCCCGGACCCGCTCGACCCGCTGCCAAGTAACGTCAGCTAATCGTAAGATTGAACCTTAGCATTGGGTCGGGCATGTCACCTACAGGCGGATTTGGGGCGAAACATCAAAAATAGTTAAAACTATTCAAAATAGGAAGCTACACCTGAGAAAACCCCAATCAGTGGATGAATTGAAAATTGATACGATGGATCTTGAGATCGATTGTGAGATCGATAATGATATTGATAGTGGAATCGATCGTGAGGACGATTGTAAGGTCGATCGTGAGACCGAGAGTAAAATCGATTCAATGAGATCGATAGTGAGATCGATCGCGAGATCGCTTATGCGATCTCTAGTGAGATCGCTTGTGAGATTGATAGTGAGATCGATTGTGACATCGATGGTGAGATCGATCGAGAAATCGGTAATGAGATCGATGGTGAGACCGATCGATAAGAAGATCGACCAAGAACCCGGGAACCCGGGAACCTCGCCGCCCTCCGAAATCGGCCCAGAACCTGAAATGGGAACCCGAGAACCCGGAACCGGGAACCCGGGAGCCTGGGAACCCAGCCTGCCACCAAAATCGGCGGGGAACTTTCGCCAAATCCTTCAACATCCACTAGGACCCCTTCAGTGCAAGCACTGCTTGGGGAAAAAACATGATGGACCCACGAACCCAGAAAGGAATATAGAAATGTAAGGCATGGCAACGTTTCAAAGACATCTGATTGGGCGACGGGCAAACGCAATGCTGAGTGTATCGGTCTTGATGTACGGTACCGAGGGCGGTGCTGTGCTGCGCCGTGCTGAATTGCGATGTGCCATGCCGCGATTGTGGTCTTAAGTGTTGTGATCGAGTCCTCCTTTGCATCCGAGTCCTGACCGAACTGATCTGACCCTTACGCTCGAGCTGCCTGAGGACATAGTAGCTGCCCCAGAGCTAAATGACAGGGGGACATGCTAGGAGGACGCGCCGCGGAACGTCCCAAGGGACGCGCCAGGCGACGTGCCAAGGGACGTGCCATGGGGACGCACCGCGAGACGTGCCGAGGGGACGCGCTCCGGAACGTGCCAATGGACGTGCCACCTCATGCTAGACATCCGCCTGGGCAAACTGAACACGTGCAGACAAGTCGTTCGCCCGAGACATCCCCAACACATGTTCATGTTAGACGTCCGTTCCAGGCCCCCAGGAAGGCCCCAGGAGGCCCATATTAGATACCCCCTAGGTGGCCTGGACACGTTAAAGCACATGGCTCCGCCATGTAAAATACCCCCCTGGGCGGCCTGGACACGTAAAACAAAGTGGTTCCAATTCGGGGCAGTCATGTTAGATACCACCCTGGGTGGCATGGACACGTAAACACACGCGGGACCAGCTCGGGACATACCATGTTAGATACCCCCCCTGGGTGGCTCTAACTTGCGGTCGCCTGGAGCGCAGCAAGGCCCAGGAACGCCGGGCCGGAGGCGCCTGGAGACCAAAAAATCAACGAATCGATACCAGATACAAATAAACTCTCGACGCTCCGTTCTGGGCCCCAGGAAGGCCCCAGGAGGCCCATGCTAGCTACCTCTGGGTGGCCTGGGCACGTCAAAACACGTGGCTCCAGCGCGGGACCACCATGTTAGATCCCCCCTCGTTGGCCTGGACACGTAAAAACACATGGGTGGCCTGGACACATAAAAACAAGTGGATCAAGCGCGGGACCACCACCTTAGATACCCCCCTGGGTGGCCTGGACACGTGAAAACACGTGGTTCCAGCTCGAAGCTACCATCTTAGATCTTCCCTCGGTGGCCTGGACACATAAAAACACATGGAGGGCCAATCTATAGGCGCATACGTAAAAACACGCGGATTCGGGCCCAATCTATAGCAACAAAAACACGGGTTCGCGCCTCACAGGGGGCATTTTTTGCGAATTACTCCGGCCTCTAGACTTGTTATTTCTCAAGGATACTACACAAACGCGCCGCACCCTCTTTTTTACGAAAACTAGCGGTGGTCTGCGGACCCCGTGATTTACCGAGGATCCGACACGGGAGGCGCACTTTCCTTGAGCGGGCACGCACGAAACGCACTGTGTCGACTAAGGAATTCTAATTTACTTCGTTTTTCATCGCAGAACAATTCCGCCGGCCTCCGTCAAGTCGAGGTGGGGGGGAACCCACTGAAGAGAACCTAAGCCATTTCCGGGAATAGTAGAAAAATCGTCCCCGGATAACTTAAGTTTTTCTTTTAAACATATTTTTGAATGTTTCTCCTGCAGAGGGACACGCCCGACTTAACCTTAGCAAGAATGACCTTCGATGCGCGACTTTTGAGGGCCACGGGGAGGCCGAACCGGAGCGCGCAAGCCGCTGCTATCGAAGCGCATCCGGCCACCTGGGGACCCCCGTGTGCCCGCAACGAAATTCACTTCAGCGACGGGTCACTCTCACGTAGGATCATCGCCGAGAGCGGCGGGCCTGCCAGGCGCTGCTCCTCCTTTCTGGGTCTCCTGGGGGCTTCTGGCCACCACCGCTGGTGCTGTCCTGACGAGAGCGGCCGGGATGGACGGGCCCTATAGGAAGACTCCGGGGCCGTGCGGACAAGCCGCCGTTGTTTCCACCGGCCCTCCTCCGATAGCGGCCGCCGCTGCCTGAGGGCGGGCGGCGGTCGCCAGTGGCCGGCCCTTCACCTGCACCGGCTCTGTCCGGGCCCATGCGGGTGTGGAATGGGTGCGGGTGCATAGGATGAGTGGTGCTCTCCGGTTGAACGACCGCGCTGACTTCGCCGCCGCGGCGACGCTGGGCGAACGTGTCGCCCAGGAGGAGGGAGGAGGTCGGCGATCGACGTCCGATCCATACCCTTGCTGCTGCTCCCCGCTCTGGGCGCCAGGGGAAGCAGGGCCTGGATAAAAGGTGTGGCCTCGGAGGCCAGGAGTTTCTTCTTCTCCCCGCTCTGGCTCCGCGCGCGGACGGGGCGCGGGCAGGGACATGGATATGTAGAAGATCGATCGCCGAAGGAGGGGGGAGACCGAGGGGAGGAGGGGCGAGGCTGAGGAGACGGGGGGCACGAGGGAGGACACCCCAGACATGCTATGTCCTAATGTTTTCCAATGCGGGGCTTCCGAAGTCCCAACCCTCTCCGCAGGAACGGTTTTTCATCCCGAGTCGTTCTTTCCAAGGTCCCGCGGCCCGGCGAAGGCCCCCATGCAGAAGCCCAAAACGAAAAAAGATCTGCTGTTTTTTTCCACGACGCGAATATGTCTGGGAAGGGGGCACGAGGAAGGCCCCTGCACGCAGTTCGACGCCGTGGCCGGCACCCAGAACGGGGCTTTCCAAGGGGCTGCCCCTTCTCTTGCTCCCCTCCGCCTCGTGTTCTTGCCTGCTCCTTCTCCCGCCTCCTTATGCCCCGCCTCCTTCTCGCCTCTACGAGCGGTGCCCGTTCAGAACCAGCGCCCTGGGCTCCTCCCAGGCCCAAGCCTGGCTCGTTTTCCGAGCCGCGTTCGGTCGCGACCAGGAGAGGCTTCCCCGAAGGCCCATACGTAAGCGGAGGATGAGCGGGAGGAGGGAGGGGAGGAGGAGGAGGAGGAGGAGGGGGAGGAGGAGGAGGAGGAGGAGGAGGAGGAGGAGGAGGAGGAGGAGGCAGGAGAGTTGGCGGTGAAGAAGGAGAATGATCCTGCCTCCCTCCCTGGATGGCGCACGGGCAGGCTACGGTCAGCAACTTGTGCTGAGCTTGTCGCGGCGGCGGCCCCCGCAACACGCTATGACCTGCGAGTGGATAGCGTGTCGCTGCGCTACGCGGGGCGGAGGGCTCGGAAAAGCTCGGGACGTTGACGCCTCAGGACAAAGAAATGGACAGCGTGTCGCGCGGAAACGGAGTGGGCCAGAACTGGCGGAGCGACACGCTAGCCAACAGTTCCCGACCGTCGAGCCACCTTCTTGCACCAGCGCGGGGAGGTCGCCCGTCGATGCGTGCGGCACGACGAAGCCCCAGCGAGGACAGGAAGAGGACACGGGCAAGCACGGAACGGGCGAGCACAGCGCCCCCCCGTGAGAGCTCCCCCGGTGGAGCGGGCAAGCAGGTCGCCCCCCAGGGGTTCCCCCCGCGGGGCGGGCAAGCGCAGGCGAAGCGCAGGGGCGGCCCCCCTCCCAGACCCAGACGCCTGGCGTCTCGAACAAAAATCGAGATGGCGGCGCTTCACAGCTTTCGGCTCCCTGGGGCCTTTATATGCCAAGCTTCGGGGCCGTCAAAGGACGACTCGGGACGAAAAACCGGTCCCGGAGACGTGGTCGAGAGGTCGGAGGGCCGTGCCTCGAACAAAAAACGAGACGCTGGATGTCTGTGGAGCCCGGGTGGGAAGGGAAGGGAATGAGGAGCCTCCTCCACTCCAATCTCCTCCTCCTGCTACTCGCCCCGTCCCGTCATCCCCCTGCTCAGCCCCCCTCCTCCCCTCCTCCTCCCCTCTCCTCCACGCTCGTGTCGGCGTCCTCCCTCCCGAGGGCGACGAGATCTACACCGATCCGCTGCCCCAGGCCTAGCCCATCCTGGTCCGAAGCGGGGGTGTAATATGCCCCCCCCGTTGCTCCGCCGGCGCAGATCCTCTCAAATCTGTCCCCGGACCCTTCCCGCGAGGTCCATCCTGGCAAAGAAAGTTCCCCCCCAGAAATCGATTTCTGGCCCGAGGCGGGCTCCAAGGGACTCGAACATTCAAACAGAAGGGCAACTCGAACCATCTTGCCTCCCCCTCCTTGTCGCGACGAACACAACAACGACGAGAAAGACGAGGACGAGGATGACGAGGCTCTGGACGACCCCGGCGCTCCGGGCAGTCTGCCTTCGCAAAGCCCAACCTCCCGCCGTCGAGGTCGAAAATCACGTCGCGGTGGAGCCTCGGCGCGACGACCACGACGACGACTTCACCGACGACGACGCCGTCGGTGACGGCGACGACTGTCAAGTCGATGCCGACGACGCCCTGGCGACGAAGTTCTGGTTGGACGCTATGGAAGAAACCAAACAAGGGGGAGGGTAGCGAATCAGCCCATGTAGCTGGTTTTCGCAGCGCGTCTCGGCGCTGGCGGCGCCCACGTATCGGGGAAGGCGGCCGGCGGCGAGGCCGAAACCAGCTGCATGCAACAACTTTCGTACCCCCTTTGAGCGCTTCCAAAATATTTGACGTGACGGCCGTCGCCGCGCTGGCCACCCCCTGGTGATGTAACGTTCGGCGCCAGCGGGGTTTGGGAATGTCGAATAGCCTTGGCTAGTCCATGGGCTACACGTAAGAGTGACCCTTCGCAAGAGCGACCTTTGGTGCTGGCCCCCAGGGGGTCTGGTGATTTTGAGCTTGGCCTCGCGTCGGCTCCCGTAGCGCGTGGTTTCGCTCGCATCTGAGCCCGCCAGGTTTGGGCGCCACCCACCTTGCAATCGACCGCAGCGCATACGCGGCTCACTCTGATGTGCGCATTCGTTTCCCGAGTAGGGGGGCCGATCGACTGGGCGGCGCGTTTCCCGCCACAAGACTGGTCCCGAATCCTAGCCCAAAATCCAAATTCGTCGGGTTTGAACATCGTTTTGACTAGCTGTGACTAAGTTTAAATCTGTTTGATTCTATTTCCGAACCAATGGATATCGTTTCTACTGCAAGTCATTTGAAACGTATTCCCGACCAGCGGACGGGGCCGGTTATGGCCACGACGCCAGACCTGGTCAGACGTCATCGCGACGCGGCCCAGCAGTGCCAGACCTCATCGTGGTGGCCCCGGGCAGCGTCTGCTTTCGCCACATCTTCGATGTGCCATTGGGGGCGTTCGAACGGCTGCCCGCTGGCGCGAAGGATCTTTCGAGGCGCGCCCCGCCGATCGTTCATGCGGCGCGGTAGTACTGGCTTGCGCGGTTGCGTTGGGCCCCACGGGCGCCCCTGAAGCCGCGCACCGAAGGTCACCCTAGCCTAGGGCCACTTCTGCGCATTGTCGAGTCCTGGAAATGCCCAAACCCCGCGGGCGCAAAGTGTTCTGTCGCCAGGCCCCTCCAGATGGCGACATGATGATGATGATGATGATGATGATGATGATGATGACGACGATGACGATGACGATGACGATGCTGATGCTGATGCTGATGCTGATGCCGATGATGCTGATGATGATAATGATGATGACGATGATGATAATCGATGATGAAGATGATGATGATGATGATGATGATGATGATGATGATGATGATGATGATGATGATGATGATGATGATGATGATGATGATGATGATGATGATGATGACGACGAGGAGGAGGAGGAGGAGGAGGGGGAGGACGTAGAGGAGGAGGAGGAGGAGGAGGAGGAGGAGGAGGAGGTGGAGGAGGCCGTAAGTTTGGCCCCATCCTGGGCCCAGGATCGGTGCATGCGGCCTCTGGCTTGGCCATGGGAAGCGCACACACCGCCCCCCAAGGCCCCAGGACGGGCCAGGCCGCTGGGGCGGCGGAGACGTAGTTACACAGACGTGCCACGTCAGTGCGGAGTCCCCAGCAATGCCGCTGGTCTTATGGTGTTCCCATCGTTCTTAAGAACCACATCCCAGAAATAATCTCGAGCACCCAGAACAGTATCGAAACAGTGCCGAACGAGTGTCGCCTCCCAGGGCCCGACACGTGAAAATCCTTCAGTTTCGGTACTTTCGTAGTGCTCGAAATTCTTTCTGGTGATCAAGGCTGAAGTAGGTTGGAACATCATAACGCTGGGCGTCGCTTAATGAGAGGGCGACCGGGGGGGGGAGGAGAAAGATGCACTGCTCGGGCCCCCAAGGCCCCCCTTGGGGCCCCACAGGGCCCCCCACTAGGGGCCCTGAAGGGCCCCTTTTCTGCAGCCTTCGCGGCCTCCTTGCTATCGCCCCCGCCATGACGCGACGCCCAATCCCCCTCCTCCCCCATTTTCGCAGCCCTCTTTCCCCCTCCTCCTCCTCCTCCTCCTCCTCCTCCTCCTCCTCCTCCTCCTCCTTCTCGTTTCTGCCCCCCTCCCTCCTCGTCTTCTCTTCCTCTGGCTTTTCATCGTGAGTCGTTTCCTGACGGCCTCGAGGCCCAGCGAGGGCCCCCAGCGGCTGAAGAAACGGCAGAAGCCTGCCGTCGTGCCCTTGTTCCACGAGGCGGGTATGTCTGGGCATCGCTTCGAGAGCCATCAAGGGGTACGAATCTCTGCCGCACCCAAAGGGGCCCTGGCCTTCGGGGCGAGACATACTTGAAGGCAAACGTCAAACGCATTTTGGCAGCGCGCTTTGCTTCGGCAAGCAGCGCACCGCGGGGTCAGGAGCTGCTCAGGCGGCGCCTCCCCCACCGCACTTCGTTGACCTCCTCGACCGCCAGATTCTTGTGTTGCTGCTCCAGCGAGGCTCTCGGAACCTGACAGCGCGACCGTCCCGGAGCCCCTGGTGCTCACCCACCTCGCTCTCGTCGCCCCACCGCCCACCACCCCCACGCCCTGTGACGCCCCTCCCGTCCGCTCCGAGAGGCGCCGGGCCGGCCCCTCACCGAGCGGGGCCCCATCGAGAGACCGCCACGTGGCCCGGGCGCCGTGGCAGCCCCGCGGCCAGGCGTAGGCGCGGGCCGGCGTGAGGCGACGCGGGAGCCGACGGGGCACGACGGGCATCTTCGGCCAAGCGGCGATGGGACGACAAGTATAATTGCAAGTTACGTGCGACAACATGCGACTGCACATAGATTGCGAAACAACCTGGACACGCATCCCCACCCCCTACGTTTCAATGAGGGCCTCGATGTGGCACCCCAGGCCCCAAACAGAATAACGCAAACCAGCAGTGACATATGGGAGGGGGGGGTCCTGCCGAGATCGGAACGCGTCTGATTCAACATGGTAGTTTGCGCCTGATTCAGTTGGGAAAACTTGCATTATTTTGTCCACGCGCTGGAAGACCTTTAGGTCCTGGCGACGCAATGTGTTCGAGTCGGGCGTTTTCGCTCAGCTTCGGGCACAGGTGCGCTCACAGATCGATCGAGCTCCAAAAATGGCTCAGAAAGATGGGGGGCTGCGGCTCCGGTCGTGAGTTCTTATAATGTTTCAGTGGTTTCACGCCGTAGGATCTCAGGGGACGACGGCGACGCCAACGACGCATGTCGGCTCTGCCCTCCCGAGCTAGCTGGGGGCGCTGCATGAAGGATGTACCCAGAACGGTCTGGAAGACGTCGTCTGGCAAGAAAGTGGCGCACCAGATGCCGCTGGAGTCTCTCTTCTGCAGGTACTCCAGGGGGTGCCAGTCCACCCTGGTGTCCTCACCGAGGGAGGAGAAAGTGCCGCGAATGAGCGTGCTGAGAGCGGGCCTATGCAGGAACTGCACTCAAAGAGCGGTTTCGCTCGCGCTGGTTGAAGAAAGGTAGAAGCTGCACACGCGTCTGAAGCAGAGATCCGAGGAGGGGGGGGGGCAGGTGTGAGGACTGCTTCTGCACCGAGCGAACTTCGGCATTGTCGAGCTCGTCTCCACGTCCTTTCCGACCTGGGGCCAGGAGCCGCACCGCGCACCGAAAATGAACACCGGAAAGCAGTCAAACTTTGCAGGGAAACTGCTCCGCAATGGTGCGCAGACCGACCGGCCGCCACGCTGTCCACACCCAGCCTGTTCCCAGCAGCTCGTGGTCGCCGCTCGTAGCCGAGCGCTCAGAAGCCACCTGGTACGATCCATCGAAGGCCGTGACCTGGCATGCATGCAGACATGCACACACACACACACACTCGATACACACGGTACACATACGCACACACACACACACACACTCAACCACGTCTGGGGTAAGCAAGCACAGCGCGGGGCATCTAGGGCTCCAGACAACCCTCTTGCGCGGGATTCCATTCTGTGCCGGGTCGGTCTGCCAGGGCACCGACGCCTGGAAAGAAGCCTCTGGCGGCACGGCAGAACTGGCCCTGCTGCCCGTACTCACTCCGCCGAGCGAGAAAGCTCGGCAAACTTTCGAGATCTCAAGACCGTGTGGTGACAGACCGCGTGGTGACATCGAAAACCCAAAGACCTCACCGCGCGGTCCGTCACCGCACGCCCTTGGGACCTCGGAGGCCACGGTCGCCCGAGACGTCCTCGGAGGACCCGCGATATCCCCCAACCACGCGGCGACCCCGAATCCCCACTGACTCACCACGCGGTGCGGTCACTACACCGTTTGGGCACCTCCGAACCCCAAACCCCGACGTCATGATTTGCTCATGCCATCAACCCCCTGAGGTCTCGACCCATTCCCTGGGACTGCTCTTGCATTCCAACTGATTTTTGGCGGTCCTGGGGCCCGGCGAGAGGCCGAAAACAGAACATGGTCTACACACGAACCCGGAAAGGACTATAGAAATGAGAGGCATGGAAACGTCTCACGAGATATATAATTGGTCGACGGGCAACTGCAATGCTCAAAGTAACGATGATGTACACTTCCACTGGCTGCGCTGTACTGTGCCATGCTGTGCAGAGTTGCATTGTGTTGTGTTCCTTTGAACTACGCTGTGCGCTATTGCATTGTGGATCAAGTCGTCCTTGGCGCCCTACTCCTGCCCGAACTGACCTGGATCTTGAGTTCGAGATGCCTGAATTCATAGCTTGGGCTCACATGAAGACACACAGGAGAAAAAGCTTACGATCCAAATTCGTTCGCGTAAGACTTCGGCCCCGAGAGGCCCCCACGGGCTCATTGATGGTCATGAACTTGGTGGTGGTGGTGATGCGGAGAAGTCAAAGAACTCGAGCTCAACATCCGAATCAGTTCAGATGAAGAATCAAGTGACAGCGTACTTTTTGAACAAATCGGCGCAACGAGGTCACGAACACTGCCAACGAAAGCGCGGCGGCCCAAGGAGCACTCCGGCTCCCGCCAGGCAGAGCGGGGGGAGACGAGGGCTGACCCTGGGGGTGCAATGCCCAACGTATAGAAATAGCAGCGAACGAGGAGGCGCAAGAAATACGACTGACCCTGAGAGTGCAACGCTAAGCAGGGATGGAGCTAAGCGTGGGCGGACCCCCCCGGTGCAGAACCTGACGGAGAGGCGGAAAAGAAGGTGGAGGTCGAAGATGCGGCAGTCAGGAACAAACCTGACTCAGTGGGTGCATGGGCTGACCCTGGACGACCCTGAGGGTGCAACGCCCGTCGCTGAACGAGGGAATCATGAGAAAATCAAGTGGCCCTGAAAGCGCAACGCCGGGCAGGGAGGAAGAAACGCGAGGGCTGGGACGCAGTGCGCGTCGGAGTGGGGGAGAGAGGCCGACCCCGCGAAATGCCGGGCAGAGCGGAAGAACGACAAAACGGCTGGGCTACTGAGAAACTCCGGACGCGGAGGCTGGCCCTGCGGGTGCAAACGCCCCCGCGGTTCGGAAGTGGCAACCTACGCAGGCGCCGTGATCACGCCGATGTCGAAGAACATCGGCACGCAGTCGCTATCGCGGATCTGCTCCAAAACGTCGCTCCGCACCTCCGCGGGCAGTGGCCATTGGCTTGGACTCCCCCTCGCGGCCACTGGGCGGTCGACCAGGACGGGCGCCGACAGCACATTGCACACTGGCCCAATCGCCCACGCGTGCCCGTTGCAATCCTCCTTGTCCACGGTGTTCGGCTATGCGCACGAGGCCGACCACCGCGCCCTGGTAGTGCCCTGCTTCGCTGCCGCGTAGGAGGTCGGGGTACATGCCGGTGGCGCGCCTCGTATGATCTGGGTTCTGACGCCCAACGTGAAGCGCGTACCCCCCGGTCGAGAACTTGCGAACGCGGTTCTCGACCAATTTGTACCCGTGGAGCATGGCCAACGCGAGCTCCGCGCCGTGCACCGTGCAATCGTGGGTCACGTCCGCTGCGTCATCCGCGCCGCAGGAGCCCAGAGCTGGCCGCTGCGATGTTGAGCCCTGAGTTGGCCTCTGCCTGCGGCCTGAGGCGGAGCCCTGAGCTGGCCCGTTGCTCAGGCAGGCTTCGGAGGAAACGTTCCTGGCCATGGAGCCGGCGGCCGGCTGCAACTCGCTGCAATCGGCGGAGGCGGTCGCGGCCGTAGAACCCGCGGCGGGCTACGAGGCGCTGCCAGCGGCGGGCGCAGCGACAGAGTCCGAGGCGCTACTAGCAGCCGCGCCGGGCTGCGCCGGGGGATGCGCGCTGCGCGCATGCCCTGGTGGAGGAGCCGCCGAGTAGGACTCACCCTGTTCCCACAGAGCCATTAAGCGAGAACGCTCCGCATTAAAAGCGCCACCTTCTGGCCATCCTTGTCTTGTCAACTGGCCGCGGAAACAAAAACGTTGCACTGCCCGCTGCCGCGACGTAGCTGGCATTCGAAGCAATGTGCTCGAGACGCTGGCGGGGCTGAACGCAGCTCAGGTGTTCGAGTCAGGAAAGCTCGCCGTAAACGCAACGCATGCGCGAATGCGTCCACTCAACAGAAAGGATATGGCAACTCCAAGGGACAAGTGAATTGGGGACATGTACTCCAACATGAGACTGGTGCGTGTCAGCTGGGCCACGGGGAAGGGGGCATCCACCGTGCTATTTGCAGTTTGTTTCAGATCTGGGCCAAAGGGGGGCTATCCAACGTGCGTTTGCCCAGCATGTTTGCAAGTGGAATGCCTGCTGCTCAGGCAGGGGTGCCGCCAACCTGCCTGGGCAGCGGGTGTTCCACTTGCAGATCGCAGACGGATCGCGCCAGACACTCGCCAGGGGTCAAGGGGGGGGGGAGGGGGGCAAGACATGGGCTGACTCTGATGGTGCAAAGCCCAGCGGAGAGGAGAAGGGCTTAAGATCCAAGTCAGCTCGTGTAAGATTTCGGCCCCGAGAGGCCTCCACGGGCTCATTGATGGTCATGATGATAATGATGCTGCTGATGGTGGTGATGATGATGATGATGGTGATGATGGTGATGATGGTGATGATGATGATGATGATGATGATGATGATGATGATGATGATGATGATGATGATGCGGAGCAGTCAACCGACTCCAGCTCAAGATCCAAATCAGTTTCGGCCGTGGAGGGCCGCCTCGTAAGAGTGGAAGAACGGCAAAGCGACTGGGCGACTGAGAAACTCCGGACACGGAGGCTGGCCCTGCGGGTGCAGACGCCCTTGCCGATGGAGCTGGTCGCGGGCAACGCTGCAGTCCCCGCCGCGCGCGGGGTGCCCCCACGTCACCACGCTCCCGTCTCCTGTGACTGCGGCGAAAGCAGCGCCTCTGGAGTAGATGTGATGGACGTCGCGGAACTGTTCGCGGACGGCGCTGCAATCTCCGCCGTGCTCGAACTCCCCCCACGCCACCACGCTCCCGTCGCCTCTGACAGCAGCGAGAGCAGCCTCTGTGGACTAGGTGCACCGGATGCAATGGAGCTGGTCACGGACGGCGCTGCTGTTTCCGCCGCTGCGGTCCTAGCCGCATGAGCGGCCCCCCCACGCCACCACGCCGCCGTCGGCAACCACGGCTGCGAAAGCGTGCCCTGTGCAGTATATTTCCATTGGCTCTACCACGACGGATGTAAGTATGTCTCTGCCCGCTTCGCCGACGCGGGAGCTCCGCAAGAGTGCATCACCGGCTGTCGATACCAACCTGCAGAGATTTCCGCCGAATTCGCCGTAGACCTGCCCACACACACACACACACCTCGTATGGAGTCTTCGAAGTTGAGGAGCGCGTTTCCAATGATAGTTGTACCAGATACTGCAACTATGCGGACGTTAATGCGTCGCTGCCAAACTAGCTAAGACCCAAGCGGAATGAGCCAACATCGCTACGGACGTTATCTTCAACTATCGCCGATGAGGATGTAGCCAGGCGCGAGGCGGCCGACCAACTCGAGCTCAAGATCCGAATCTGTTCCGGCGCGGCAACCCGATAGGGTCGCTGGCCGGGCGAAGAATCTGTCTGAGCACGAGGGCAGTGCAAGAGTTTGGGGCGGCGGCGAGGCAGAGAAGAGGATGAGAAACCTGATTGTTTTCTCCGCCCACCTTTCCGGCAAACGGGCGCTAGAATGCAAGCGGCCAGAAGTGCGAGCGGAGGACCGGCTGACCCCGCGGGTGCAATGCCGGCCAGGAACAGATGGAGAGCGAGGGCTGACCCCGCGGGCGCAGTGCCCGGCGGAGGGCGAAAGAGAAATCAAAGACACCAGTTGGGTCTGGGCGCGCACAGTCGCATCGGATGATGTTGAGACGAGGGCTGACCCTGTGGGTGCAAATCCCAGCGGATAAAGGGATGAGGTACGAGAAAACCAACTGACCCCGTGGGTACAATGCAGGGCGTAGAGGAAACGACGAAGGCTGACCCTGAGGGTGTAATGCCTCGTAGAGAGGAGGAAGATACAAGACATCGGCTCACCCCGGGGGTGCAATGCCGAACAGAACGGCGGACATTCGAGGCTGACCCTGAAGGAGGGCTGACCATATGGGTACAAAGCCCAGCAGGGAGAAGAAGGAGGTACGTAGAGAGAACTGGCTGACCCCGCGAGTGCAATGCTGGGCGTAAAAAAGAACGAAGGCTGATCCTGCGGGTACGAGAGATACGGCTGACCCAGAAGATGCAATGCCAAGCAGAGAGGAGGAAAACTAGATACCACCCATGCGTGGCCCGAACACGTGAAAACACGTGGTTCCAGTTCGGGACCACCATGTTAGATATTCCCCTGGGTGGCCTGTACATGTGAAAACACGTGGTTCCAGCGCGGCATCACCATGTTAGATACCCACCTGGGTGGCCTGGACACGTGAAAACACGTGGTTCCAGCGCGGGACCACCATGTTAGATACCCACATGGGTGACCTGGACACGTGACAACACGTAGTTCCAGCTCGGGGCCACCATGTTAGATACCCCCCCTGTGTGGCCTGGACGCGTGAAAACACATGCTTCCAGCTCGGGACCACTATGTTAGATACCCCCCCTGGGTGGTGGCCTGGACACGTCAAAACACATGGTTCTAGCTCGGGACCACCATGTTAGATAACTCCTGGGTGGCCTTTTCTGTGAATTGGTCGGGTCTCCAGACCTCGCTATTTCTTTCTTTCGCGAAGAAAAGCGGTGGTCTGCAGACCCCGTTATGTATCGAGGATCCGAGATGGGGGGCAAACTTGCCTCGAGCGGGCAAGCGAAAAACGCACTTGTTCAACTGCAAATTCACACTTTAAACGTACTTGTTCAACTGCAAATTCACACTTTACCTCGAAATTTATCGCAACACCTTTCCGCCAGCCCACCTCCCGTCGGGGCCGGGGGGTAAACTAACTAAAAGAGAACCCTGGGCCTACGCCCTTTCCGGGGAAAAAACACCTCCGTCCTGTTTTCTAGTCATGACCCGAGGGAGGTCTTGGAGAACTGCAGTCCTGGTCGAAGAAGATCCGGAGCGTCGGGAAGTCCACCGGCTCAAGCTCTGGCGCGGACAGCTGCCAGCACTCCGACCCCTCTTCTGTCTGGGCGCTGCTCTTGCCGGCGCTGCAGCCTCCTCGCGCGCCGCAGTAGCGGCCGATCTGCTCGAGGATGGCCGCGTAGAGCGGCTGGGGGAAGTACGAGTAGGTCGTGCCGCTGTCCACGATGCTCACGCCGAGGTGCTCCTGCCCCCAGGCCGCCGCAAGGCCCCGGCCGTCTCCCTCGTCGCCTATGGTCAACCCCACGGGGAAGACGAAGTGGTAGCGCTCTGGGCGCAGGCGGACCCACTGGATACCGCCGCCGTCGTCGCCGCCCCTGTGGTAGGAGCTGTTGTAACCTCCAATCGTGAGGCGGCCTCCCCACGTGGCGAAGCACAGGGAGAAGGTGCTGGTCCGCACGTGCTCCGTGTCCGAGAACAGCTGCGTCAGGACGGTGGGCGAGGAACCCGCGCCCGGAGCCAGGCCCATGATGCCGCTCGCCGCCTGCGAGTAAAAGAGGCTGTTCTCGAGGAGGTTGCAGCCCATCTGGACCCTCACCGCTGGGTTTGCCTGCTCGGAGTCTCCGAGCCTGGCGAAGTCCTCGAAGAGCACGCCCGAGATCGAGCTGCCCTCCGAGTAGGTCTCCGCGTAGGAGCAGCGCTCCCCCGAGCAAGCGGCAGTGCAGGTCTCGTCCCCGCAGCGGACCCACGCCGCGGTTGCACTGTGGGAAACGTTGAAAGCCCTGTCAATGTGCTCTCCGCAGTGCTGGCACCCAGTGCAGGCGAAGCCCATGAGCCTCGACGGCGCGCACAAGTGGGGCAAGATTAATCAACATCGAATTGAGAAATTGGATCAAGTCGGATTGTGCGCCGGACCGGGCTGCACAGGCACGGAGCCGAAATCGAATCGGGTCGGCTGCGCCAGGATGCACGGCAGCGCCATGCAGACGTCGGGATGCATCGGCCCGTCGGGATATCCGAAGCCGATCGGATCGAGCTGGCCAGAACGGATGCCGACTCGGATCGACCGCAGCGGAGTGGACTCTCGGGGGTTAAGGACAACGGGGGCGCCGGCCTCCCGAGAGGGACGGGCATCGGAGGCCTCTGATTGGAAAGCCTCTCGGGGGCCCGGGGGACTTCTGAGAAGGTCTTCCAGACGTCCGGCGGGCGGCTCGATCTTTTCGAGACGCGGGGCCCCAGACCTCTCGACCCCTTCCAACGGAGCGGGCTTTTCATCCTGAGCCGATGTTTGACGGCCACTGGGCCTAGAACTGCCTCAAAGGCAGAAGCTGTAGAGACAATATCTGTATACATATTCCAGAGTGAGTGGTCAGAACGGCCATTCTCTGTCCCTGGGCGCGTTGCTGAGATGGGCTTCCGCGTTCCGCGGTGCGGATTGTTGTTGCGTTGTCGTTGTTGTTGTTGTCGTTGTTGAACTTTCACTTCTGAAAGATACTTATTGCTGATCCCCCCCCCACCGGTGCATACAGTTTTTCTCAATGCAAGTGTGCCCCTCGACGCTCGCACCCTGTTTTTGACAAGGAAAATCTTCATGCTCAAACTGGGCCCCTAGCCCCCGGGTTACAACAACAACAACAACAACAACAACAACAACAACAATCATTTAAGACTGGGGACACTCCGTTCTCACCAGTGCCAGGGTTTTCATAGGAGGCGGGCAATACCCCCACTTTGTGGGGGGGCCGGTTCAAGCTCTACCAAATTTCCAAACGACTCTTCGCCACCACCCACACCCAGCTTCCCGCCCTATGACGTTCGGACACTTCACTTCGTGGCATGCGGACGACCGTGGCTACTATTCAGGGCCCCGCGGCCGACGACGACGGCGTGCGCGCGCGAAGAAAAAACGAATGTGTCCCGCATGGTATTATTTGACAGGGATGATGGCCCTGGCAGGTGCGCAACCGTTGTCGCAGAAGTTCGAAAAAGTTGCTCGCAAAAGCCCGTTTGACAGAAATGTTTAAAAAGTGTTGGGTTTCCTACGAATCCGCAAGAGCGCGCGGGATGAGATTTTGACATTTTTTTGTTGAAAAACCATTGGTTTTTTGATGTTTTTATGTTAAAATCGCTCCGAACACTAAGCTTTTGGAAGGATTTCGTCTTGCGCGCGCGAATGTCCACTTTACCTTATTTTTTGCAAGGGATTCTTGAAATTTGATTATATTAGAACAAGAAATGTCATTTTATAGTGTTTTTTGCAAGGGAAAACGGATTACAACAAAACAACCGGATCTGGATCACATCGTTTTACCTGAGGCTTCCTCACGAAAATGATGAAAATGTAGCTGCGGCCTAGGCGGCGCAGGGGGGCCGTGCACCAGGGGCCCCAACAATAATTATTCTTTAGAATTAATAATGTTCAACGGCTCCCGCCTGAGACTTCCTTACAATTTAGGCAGGACCCCCGCTCCCGCCCGAGACTTCCTCGCATTTTATTCAGGAATCGCGCTCTCGCTTGGGACTTCCTTACAATTTATTCAGGAATCGCTCTCCTGCAGCTCTGGAGTCGCGCTCTCGCTGGAGACCTGCTTGCAACTTACTGAAGAATAGCCTTGCGTTGGAATGTCCTGCAATTTGCCCAAGCGCCGCGCTCCCGACACCCAGGCACCCAGGAGTCGCGCCTGTTGTGGCCCCATGTGCATGCCCTTCGTGGCCCCGCTGTCGCCATGTGTGTCCCCCTCATTGTCCTACGTGGCCCAGTTGCTACCCTCAGTGGCCCCATAGTTGCCTTCTGTGGCCCCGCATTATCTGCACTTCGTGGCCCCCGCTCGTTCGCACTCTTCGTGGCCCCATACGCATTCCCTTCGTGTCCCCGCTGTCGCCCTTCGTGGCCTACTTCGTGCCCTTCGTGGCCCTGCTGTCGTTCTCTCTCGCTCTCGCTTTCGCTCGTCGTCGCTCGTCGTCGTCGTCGTCGTCGCCGTCGTCTTCGACGTCGTCGTCGTCGTCGTCGTCGTCGTCGTCGTCGTCGTCGTCGTCGTCGTCGTCGTGGTCGGTCCCCTGTCCGTCCCTCTTGGGGTCGGGTCGACGGTCCGCGGCCGCCCCGCCGATCAGCGCTGCCGCTGGCCAGGCCGACGGTCCGCGGCCGCCCCGCCGCTTGCCGGGGCCCGGCCTGCAGGGAAGAAAGGTATACCCCCCAAAAGGGGTTCGATCGAAGACGAAGAGGGCGGGTATCGAGGGTTTGGGAAATACGCGTTATTGGACACTCGAGCATATAAGGGCGAACAGTATTAAAATGATTGTTGTTGTTGTTGTTGTGTCATTGTTGTACCGTTGTCGTTGTCGTTGTTGTTTGCTTGCTTATGTGTTTGTCTGTTGCTTGTTTGTTTGTTCGTTCGTTAGTTTGTTTGTGTGTTTGTTTGTTTGTGTGTTGTGTTTGTTGTTCTTGACTTCCCATTTCTAAATAATAAACATTGTTGATCCCCCCTCCAGTAACCATTACATTTTGTTAAATTGAAGTGCTCCTTCTGGGGCTCGCACCCAATTTTTTTCAAAGAAAAAATGGGTTCACCAAACTGCGCCTCTGGCCCCCAGTTTGCAACAACAGCGGCTCCCGCCTGATACTTCACACCATGTATTCCCAAAGCGCGCTCTCGCGCGGAACTCCCTCACAACTTATGCAGGAATCGCGCTCTCGCGTGGGATTTCCTCGCAATTTTCTCAGACGCCGCGCCCTCGACACTCAGGAATCACGCTCTCCCTGTGATCGCTGTGGATTTCTCACGATTCATTTGGGAATCGCGCTATCGCTCAAGACTTCCTCCCGATTCATGCAGGGCACACGCTTCAGCAACCCACCTGCTCGACCTTTCCGCCAGGGCCCGCCTTCCCAACCCGCCCGTTAGGGTCTACGCGCCCGATTTGCCCGTCCGGTTCTGCCACGTGTTTTCTGCTGCCAGCCCCCCTCCTGCTACGCGCTCTCGTGCTCCAACGTCCTCCCTCCCCCTTGACCCTTCCTTCCATCCGTCCTCTCTTCCCCTGCCTTAGGGGCTGCACGAAATACACATTGCAGGTAAGAAATATATATATATATATATACATAATATATATATATACACACACGCACCCCCAAGGGGGTACGATCGTAGACGAAAAGAGCTGGTATCGAGGGTTTGGGGAATACGTGATAAATGGCACGCGAGCAGATAAAAACGAACTGTCTGAAAATGACTGTTGATAATGTTGTTTTTGCTGTTGCTGCTGTTGCGGTTGTCGTTGTTGTTGTCATACTCGCCCACGACCCGCCCCGTGACCCACCCGCGAGCCACCCTGCGACCAACCCGCGACTCGCCTGCGACCCACCCGCGACCCACCCGCGATCAACCCGCAACCCACCCCGCAAGTCACCCGCGACCAAATGCGCGCCCACCCCCTCGCTCTTATCCGTATCTGCGGGATGCTAGGTATGTGGAAATATACAGATGTGTAATTGTGTACACCGACATGCACACATACGAAACTGTATCTGCCTCGATATTGTTCAAGCCGCTGGGTGTCCGGGTCCGAAGGCAGCCCGCCCCGCCCTGTATACCCCCATCTTCGCACGGCCGATGGCGCCGGCTACCGGTGTCCACGATGACGGACGCCCGCTGGCCCGAGGGCGTGCCCACGAGCAGGTCGACGAAGTAGTACCCATACGTTGCGAGGTTACCGTAGAGGTGGGCGCTCAGGATCCTGGGCTGGAGTGCCATGCGGGACCTGCTCCAGAATTAGAACATACGGAAGACGGATATACACTTCCTCCGACCTTGAACTACCCTGGGCGCAACGGCTATAGACGCATCCACCCCGAGTATGTGCTCTACGGGTAAGAACAACCAATGTGTCCAGAGACGCTTGCGGCTGGAAAGTTAGAACGGTATTTGGCATGGGCCCATAGGCCCCAAACATTATTTTCTGAAAACGAATAGACTTGGCATTCCAAATCCTGGACCGGCGTCCCTAGATATCTGGCGGCTTTAACAAAAGTCGAGGCGGTCAGGTTTGTTGCAACCCGTTGGGCCGTCGGATTTCAGGACCCCGAGGCCGTCGAAAAACGACCAGGGGTAAACAAACACTGCCCTGGGGAAGTGGTCGAGAGGTGCTGAGCGGCTATATCGATTAGCGATCTGCCATCTGGCCATACAAATGCTTGGACACAGATCGGTCTAAGAACTGAAATTGCACCATCTGTCCTGAAGCATCCCTACGGTTATGCCTGTCTGACCTTTAAACCCACATTGGTTGCAGACATTGCACAGCGACATTCAAACTTAATGGTATAATATTCCGAACCAGCTATGTAAGGTTGTGCGAAGCCGCGCAAAGACGCTGAAACTGACTTAGGAAGCTATTCTGGCAAGCGTGCGCAAGTAATCAGGCTACGGTGAGGGTGTTGGATAAGGAACCCTTGGGTAAGGAGTCCAGGGCCTGAATTCTAGAAGAACGCTAACCGAGACTTGGTCACGGATATCGCCGTCCTCATGGAGTAAGGAACCCTCCAGGTCCTGAAGCCTCCTGGGCGCAATCCTTCACGAACGCCCCCACCGTAGCGATGAAACGCCGCCCTGACCTGCTCAAGACTCGGCGACTCCGAGGGAGGTGATTTGCTCAGGGTGTGGCTTGTAGCCCGCGCCTAGGGGGGCGGGCGAGCCCCGACGATGCTTCATTAAACCTTTTTGGCGCAGCGTGGTGACCCCTAAGCCTTAACGGCTCCGGTCGCAAACCACAGCCCAGCGTAATCACACCCACGATAGGAACTGGTTTTCGTGCCAGAACTTGGCTCTCCATGGGCCATTCGAGACGATCCAGGCTCCCTCGGAACGCCCGCGGCTAGGCGCAGCTGCTACAGAGCACCCCGAGGCTGGAGGCCCGCCGAGAAACCAAGCGCCCATTCCTTAACAAACGCCCCCGCCGTAGCGATGAAACGCCGCCCTTACCCGTTCATTTGGACCCTCTCGGTTGCGTCTTGGGCGTTGCTGGGGGCCTCCTCGGTCGTCTCTGGGCCCTCTTGGGCAGTCTTGGGGCCTTCTTGGGGCCCTCTTGGAGCTCTCTTGGTGGCCTCTTGAGAGCCTATTGGGCCGTCTCTGGGCGATCTTGTGGGCGTCTTCGGGCGTCTTGGGGCCGCCTTGGGGGGTCGGTAGAGCAAGAACGCCGGAGCCCTGCCATCTTACAAAGCCCAGACACAAATCAATGAGTTTCGCCTGTTGGCTTGGACGCGAGCTAATTGGGGGGCAATCAACTGGGGAGGGGAGAGGGGAAGAAAGGTGCCCTTTTCGGTCCCTGGACGGCTCCTCATGGGCCCTTAAGGGCCCGAGGACTCATTTAGGGAACCTGAAGCTCAATTACTAGAAGAAGAAATAGCGGCATAAACATAAACGTGTGGCGCTCCGCGCGGATTTCTTGGATTCGCGCTGGACCCCCTCCTCCCTGGCGCGCGGAGCGCGCCAGATCCAGGAAATCCGCGCAGAACGCCCAAAATGTATATTTTGTATTGCGTTTTTTCTTCTTCGAATTACGCGTATTCCGATTGGCGCCCTCTTGGGGACATCCGGGGGGAGCTCCTCGTCTCGGGACTGTACGACTCGGTGGCCGCGGCGCCGCGGGCGAGCAGCGCCAGCGCCGCCGTGGCGCCGGCGGCGAGGCGCGGCCGCGGGGCACCCGCTGCGGGCAACATGCCGGCCCCACGGGCGCGGCGGGCCGCCCGGGTCGCTGGCCTACTCCTGGAGTGCCGCCAGCGCCGCAAGCGCCGCGGGCACACACGCACGCACTCACGATCGGCGCACACATATCCGCATCCGCGCCCTCACGGTCGGCATTTCCGGTGCGCGATCCCGCGGATGCGCGGTCGTACGGATCTTCTCCGCGCGGGTCATCCGCGACAAAAGCGCCCCGTATAACCGAGGGATCGCGGCCCAAAGGCTCAGCCAGCGAGGCCGCGGATACGGAGTTATGTGTTGCGCCCATGGCGCACTGCCGAAAGCTCGGATGAATGAGTTCTTCGACATAGCCGTGCCCGCGTCCCGACTGGACTGGGGGACACGCTCCTAAGTTCCCGTGAGGTCCAAAGTGTTTCGCTGGTCCAGCAATCTTTCTCTGCCGATAAGGAAGCCCCGAAGTACGGGCAGAGAGAGGCATCACTCCTCCAACGTGCAAGGGAGAAGCAGGCCAGAAATTCGATAGCACAATATTGTTGACCTTGCCAGGGTTTGGCGCGATCGCCTGCCGACCTCTCCGAAACGCTGTCTCATCTGGTCTACATACACACATAGATATGCATGTGTATACATAGAATCAGTACGCGTTTAAGCCGCACCCGCAATTGCGGCTAAAGGTGAGGGGGCGGGCGCGGGGTGGTTCGCAGGTAGGTCGCGGGTAGTTCGGGGTGGTTCGCGAGGTAGGTTGCGAGGTGGCTCGCGGGTGGGCCCGACGACGACGACGATGCAACAACAACCACAACAACAACAACAACAACAACAACCACAACAACAACAACAACAACAACAACAACAACAACAACAACAACAACAACAATAATCAATTCAAGACTGTTCGCACTTACCTGCTCGCATGCCATCCAACACGTGTATCCCAAACCTTCGGTACCCACCTTATTCGTCTTCGATCGTACCCCCGTTGGGCAGTATATCTTCCCTACCTGCCGCGTGTGGTTGCCGCAGCCTCTAAGGCAAGGGGAGAAAGGACTGATGGAAGGGGGAGGGAGAAGGACGGAGCACGAGAGAGATTAGCAGGAGGGGGGCTAGAACCAGAAAGCACGTGGCAGAGCCAGACGGGCAGACCCTAGCGGGCGGGTCGGGAAGGCGGGCCCAGGCGGCCAGGTCGAGCAGGCGGGTTGCTGAAGCGTGAGTCCTGCATGAACCGCGAGGAAGTCTCAAGCGATAGCGCGGTCCCCTAAATCGTGACAACAGCTGTAGCGAGAGCGTGATTCCTGAGTGTCAATGGCGCGGCGTTTTAATACATTGCCAGGCAGTCCCACGCGAGAGCACGAGTCCTGCAAATATTGTGAGGATGTCCCGCGCGAGAGCGCGGTTCGGGAATACATTGTGAGGAAGTATCAGGTGGTAACCGTTGAACTTTCATTTCTGAAGAATAATTATTGTTGATCCCCCCGTCCGGTGCACATTGTTTTTTCTGGATTGAAGTGCCCTTCCCGGGGCTCGCACCCTGTTTTTCCCAACCCTCCTGCGTTGGGTACTCGTTTTGAATAGAGCACTGCTCTTCGCCGTCCCTCTCCTCTCCTCCCTTCTCCTCCTCCTCCTCCTCCTCCTCCTCCTCCTCCTCCTCCTCTTTTCTCTTGCATCCCTTCTCCTCTCTTCGCTCCTCCTCTTCTCTCTTGCTTCCCTTCACCTCTCAACTTCGGTCCTCCTCTTCTCTCTTGCCTTTTACGTCGCTTGCCCCTCGCCATCCCTGGGGGGCTGCGATCTGTGAAACTGGCGCCACATTCGAGGGCTGCTGGGGGGTTCAGCGGAGTGACGTCCTACGGGGACTCATATTAGACCTCGCCATTCCTGGGGGGCTGCGATCTGTGAAACTGTCGCCACTTTCGAGGTCTGCTGGGGGGCCCAGCGGAGTGACGTCTTACGGGGACTCAGATTCGACCTCGCCATCCCTGGGGGGCTGCGATCTGTGAAACTGTCGCCACTTTCGAAGGCTGCTGGGGGGCCCAGCACAGCGACGTCCTACGGGGACTCAGATTAGACCTCGCCATTCCTGGGGGGCTGCGATCTGCGAAACTGTCGCCACTTTCGAGGTCTGCTGGGGGGCCCAGCGGAGTGACGTCTTACGGGGACTCAGATTAGACCTCGCCGTCCCTGGGGGGCTGCGATCTGTGAAACTGGCGCCACTTTCGAGGTCTGCTGGGGGGGCCAGCACAGTGACGTCTTACGGGGACTCAGATTAGACCTCGCCATCCCTGGGGGGCTGCGATCCGTGAAACTGTCGCCACTTTCGAGGCCTACTGGGGGGGTCAGCGGAGTGACGTCCTACAGGGATTCAGATTAGACCTCGCCATTCCTGGGGGGCTGCGATCTGCGAAACTGTCGCCACTTTCGAGGTCTGCTGGGGGGCCCAGCGGAGTGACGTCTTACGGGGACTCAGCTTAGGTCTTCATCCCTGGGGGGCTGCGATCTGTGAAACTGTCGCCACTTTCGAGGGCTGCTGGGGGGCCCAGCGGAGTGACGTCCTACGGGGACTCAGATTAGACCTCGCCATTCCTGGGGGGCTGCGATCTGTGAAACTGTCGCCACGTTCGAGTCTGCTGGGGGGGCCCAGCGGAGTGACGTCTTACGGTGACTCAGACTAGACCTCGCCATCCCTGGGGGCCTGCGATCTGTGAAACTGTCGCCACTTTCGACGGCTGCTGGGGGGCCCAACACAGTGGCGTCTTACGGGGACTCAAATGTGACCTCGCCATCCCTGGAGGGCTGCGATCTGCGAAACTGTCGCCACTTTCGAGGGCTGCTGGGGGGCCCAGCACAGTCTGCACCCGCGGCGGACTCAAATGGGACCTCGCCATCCCTGGGGGGCTGCGATCTGCGAAACTGTCGCCACTTTCGGGGCTGCTGGGGGGCCCAGCACAATCTGCACCCCCGGCGGACTCAAATGGAACCTCGCCATCCCTGCGGGGCTGCGATCTGTGAAATTGTCGCCACTTTCGAGGCCTGCTGGGGGGCCCAGCACAGTCTGCACCCGCGGCGGACTCCAATGGTACCTCGCCATCCCTGGGGGGCTGCGATCTGCGAAACTGTCGCCACTTTCGAGGGCTGCTGGGGGGCCCAGCACAATCTGCACCCGCGGCGGACTCAAATGTGACCTCGCCTTTCGAGGCCTGCTGGGGGGCCCAGCACAGTCTGCACCCGCGGCGGATTCAAATGGTACCTCGCCATCCCTGGGGGGCTGCGATCTGCAAAACTGTCGCCACTTTCGAAGGCTGCTGGGGGGCCCAGCACAGTCTGCACCCGCGGCGGACTCAAATGTGACCTCGCCATCCCAGCACAGTCTGCACCCGCGGCGGACTCAAATGTGACCTCGCCATCCCTGGGGGGCTGCGATCTGTGAAACTGTCGCCACTTCCGAGGCCTGCTGGGGGGCCCAGCACAGTCTGCACCCACGGCGGACTCAAATGAGACCTCGCCATCCCTGGGGGGCTGCGATCTGCGAAACTGTCGCCACTTTCGAGGGCTGCTGGGGGGCCCAGCACAATGGGTACACACGGCGGACTCAAATTTGACCTCGCCATCCCTGGGGGGCTGCGATCTGCGAAACTGTCGCCACTTTCGAGGGCTGCTGGGGGGCCCAGCACAATCTGCACCCCCGGCGGACTCAAATGGAACCTCGCCATCCCTGGGGGGCTGCGATCTGCGAAACTGTCGCCACTTTCGAGGCCTGCTGGGGGGCCCTGCACAGTGGGTACCCACGGCGAACTCAAATGGGACCTCGCCATCCCTGGGGGGCTGCGATCTGTGAAACTGTCGCCACTTTCGAGGCCTGCTGGGGGGCCCAGCACAGTGGGTATCCACGGCGGATTCAAGTTAGACCTCGCCATCCCTGGGGGGCTGCGATCTGTGAAAGTGTCGCCACTTTCGCGGCCTGCTGGAGGGCCCAGCACAGTGATGCCACACGCAGATTCAAACTAGACCTCGCCATCCCTGGGGGGTTGCGATCTGTGAAACCGTCGCCACTTTTGAGGCCTGCTGGCGGGGCCCAGCACAGTGATGCCTCCCAAGTAGCTTACACATCAAGTTGATTGTCCATACAAGTTTCGGCCAACTCCTCGTTTCCATTGATACAAATGGGTTGGGTACGTCACAGGGTAATTTATCAAGGAAAACCTTGAGCGTCAAACTGTGTCGTTGGCCCCCGGGTTACAACAACAACGGCTCCCGCCTGAGACTTCCTTACAATTTAGCCAGGATCCCCGTTCCCGCCCGAGACTTCCTTGCATTTTATTCAGGAATCGCGCTCTCGCTTGGGACCTCCTTACAATTTATTTAGGAATCGCTCTCCCGGCGCTCTGGAGTCGCGCTCTCGCTGGAGACTTGCTTGCAATTTACTGATTACCCTGGCGACGTACCCAACCCCTGCGCAAAAGCGGGGCGCAAATAGTTTAGGATACTTTATTAGGGGGCGACGACGGAGCGAGGGTTACATATGTCTGCAAACGGAATTCGGGAGACTCGCAGGACACTGGCTACAGGAAAAAGGCTTGATAAAGCTGATGAGTTACAATTCCTGAGCACTCCTAGCCACTTCGAAAACGGGGATCGCAGCAGGACTCGAAAGTGGCGACACTTTCACAGATCGCAGCCCCGCAGGGATGGCGAGGTCTAATTTGGGCCCGCGCGTGGCCCTCACTGTGCTGGGCCCCCCAGCAGGCCTCGAAAGTGGCGACAGTTTCACAGATCGCAGCCCCCCACGGATGGCGAGGTCTAGTTTGAATCTGCGCGTGGCCCTCACTGTGCTGGGCCCCCCAGCTGGCCTCGACAATGGCGACAGTTTCACAGATCGCCGCTCACCCAGGGATGGCGAAGTGTAGTTTAAATCCGCGCGTGGCCCTCACTGCGCTGGGCCCCCCAGCCGGGCCCGAAAATTGCGACAGTTCCACAGATCGCGGCCCCCCAAGAATGGCGAGGTTTAATTTGAATCCGCGCGGGGCCCTCACTGTGCTGGGCCCCCCCAGCAGGCCTCGAAAATGGCGACTGTTTCACAGATCGCCGCCCCCCAGGGATGGCGAGGTCTAATTTGAATCCGCGCGTGGCCCTCACTGTGCTGGGCCCCCCAGCAGGCCTCGAAAATGGCGACAGTTTCACAGATCGCAGCCCCCCAGGGATGGCGAGGTCTCATTTGAATCTGCCCGTGGCGTCACTGCGCTGGGCCCCCCAGCAGGCCTCGAAAATGGGACAGTTCCACAGATCGCCGCCCCCCAGGGATGGCGAGGTCTAATTTGAATCCGCGCGTGGCCCTCACTGTGCTGGGCCCCCCAGCAGGCCTCGAAAATGGTGACAGTTTCACAGATCGCCGCCCCCCAGGGATGGCGAGGTCTAATTTGAACCCGCGCGTGGCCCTCACTGTGCTGGGCCCCCCAGCAGGCCTCGAACATGGCGACAGTTTCACAGATCGCAGCCCCCCGCAGGCAAGACAGGAAGAGGCAGGGAGGGAGGAGGAGGAAGGAAGGAAGGAGTGGAGACCACACTGCTCTATTCAAAACGAATACCCAACCAAGGAGGGTTGGGAAAAAAAAAACGTCCTTGCGGTGGAAACTTATACAATTTATTCAAGCGCCGCGCTCCCGACACCCAGGCACCCAGGAGTCGCGCTCACGTTTAGGACTCCCTCATTACATAAGAATCGGGGTCTCGCTGCCCTTCGTGGCCCCGTTGCAGCCCTTCGTGCCCCCCTCGCTGTGTTTCGTAGCCCCGTTGCAGCCCTTTGTGGCCCCCTCGCTGCCCTTCGCGGCCCCGTTGCAAACCCTCGTGGCCTCCTCGCCGCCCTTCGTGGCCCCGTTGCAGCCCTTCGTGGCCCCTCTCGCTTTGTTTCGTGGCCCCGTTGTAGCCCTTCGTGGCCCCCTCGCTGCCCTTCGTGGCCCCGTCCAAGCCCTTCGTGGCCCCGTTGCAGCCCCTCGCGGCCCCCTCGCTGCCCTTCGTGGCCCCCTCGCTGCTCTTCGTGGCCCCATATATGTATGCCCTTCGTGGCCCCCGCTCGTTCGCGCCCGTGGTAGCCCCATATGCATGCCCTTCGTGGCCCCGTTGCAGCCCTTCGTGGCCCCCTCGCTGCCCTTCGTGGCCCCGTTGCTGCCCTCAGTGGCCCCGTCCTTGCCCTCCGCGGCCCAGTATACGTATGCCCTTCGTGGCCTCCGTTCGTTCGCACCAGTTGTGGTCCCATGTGCATGCCCTTCGTGGCCCCGCTGTCGCCCTTCCTGGCCCCCATCACTGTCCTATGTGGCCCAGTTGCTACCTTCAGTGGCCCCGTCGTTGCCTTTCTGTGGCCCCGCATGATCTGCCCTTCGTGGCCCCCGATCGTTCGCGCCCGTCGTGGCCCCATGCGCATGCCCTTCGTGGCCCCGTTGTCGCCCTTCGTGGCCCCCTTCCTGCCCTTCGTGGCCCCGCTGTCGCCCTTCGTGGCTCCCTCGCTGCCCTTCGTTGCCCCCTTGCTGCCCTCAGTGGCACCGTCCTTGCCCTCCGCGGCCCAATATACGTATGCCCTTCGTGGCCCCCGCTCGTTCGCGCTCTTCGTGGCCCCATACGCATTCCCTTCGTGTCCCCGCTGTCGCCCTTCGTGGCCTACGTCGTGTCCTGGTGGCCCTGCTGTCGTTCTCTCTCGCTCTCGCTTTCGCTCGTCGTCGTCGTCGCCGTCGTCGTCGTCGTCGCCGTCGTCGTCGTCGACGATATCGTCGTCGTCGTCATCGTCGTCGTCGTCGTCGTCGTCGTGGTCGGTCCCCTGTCAGTCCCTCTTGGGGTCGGGTCGACGGTCCGCGGCCGCTCCGCCGATCAGCGATGCCGCTGGCCAGGCCGACGGTCCGCGGACGCCCCGCCGCTTGCCGGGGCCCGGCCTGCAGGGAAGAAAGGTATACCCCCCAAAAAGGGTTCGATCGAAGACGAAGAGGGCGGGTATCGAGGGTTTGGGAATACGCGCTATTGGACACTCGAGCAGATAAGGGCGAGCAATATTGGCATGATTGTTGTTGTTGTTGCTGTTGTTGTTGTTGTTGTTGTAAACCGGGGGCCAAAGGTGCAGTTTGTGGACCCCTCGCTTTCCTTTTGAAAAAAAGGTGCTGGCCCCGAGAAGGGCACTTCAATTGAAAAACACAACGTGCCCCGGATGGGAGGGATCATCAGTCTTCGAAATGAGGATTCGCCAATAAGAACAATCCTGTTACTACCATTGACTCTTATCGGCTCGAGTGTCCGTCAACGTATTTCCCAAACCCTCGATACTCGCCCACTTCGTGTTTGATCGTACCCACTTGGGGGTATATCTTTCTTCCCTGCAGGCCAGACAACGGCAAGCGGCGGGGCGGCCGCGGACCGTCGGCTTGGCCAGCGGCATCGCTGATCGGCAGCATCCCGACCCCAAGAGGGACGGACAGGGGACCGACCACGACGACGACGATGACGACGACGACGACGACGACGACGACGACGACGACGGCGGCGACGACGACGATGACGAGCGAAAGCGAAAGCCAAAGCGAGAGCGACAGCGGGGCCACGAAGGGCAGGAAGGGGGCCGCGAAGGGCAACAGTGGGGCCAAGAAGGGCATGCGTATGGGGGCCACGAGGGGCGCGAACGACGGGGGCCACGAAGGGCAGATAATGCGGGGCCACAGAAGGCAAAGACGGGGCCACTGAGGGTAACAACGGGGCCACGACGGGCAGCGAGGGGGCCACGAAGCGCGACAGCGGGGCCACGAAGGGCATGCATATGGGGCCACGACGGGCGCGAACGAGCGGGGGCCACGAAGGGCATACGAGGCAAGGACGGGGCCACTGAGGGCAGCAACGGGGCAACAAAGGGCAGCGAGGGGGCCACGAAGGGCTGCAACGGGGCCACGAAGGGCATGCATATGGGGCTACGACGGGCGCCAACAAGCGGGGGCCACGAAGGGCATACATATATGGGGCCAAGAGGGGCTGCAACGGGGCCACGAAGGGCTACAACGGGGCCACGAAGGGCTGCAACGGGGCCACGAAGGGCAGCAACGGGGGCTCACGAAGGGCTGCAACGGGGCCACGAAAGGCAGCGAGGGGGCCACGAAGGGCTGCAACGGGGCCACGAAGGGCAGCGAGGGGGCCACGAAGGGCTGCGACGGGGCCACGAAGGGCAGCGAGGGGGCCACGAAGGGCTGCAACGGGGCCACGAAGGGCAGCGAAGGGGGCAACGAAGGGATGCAACGTGGCCACGAAGGGCAGCGAGGGGGCCACGAAGGGGTGCAACGGGACCACGAAGGGCAGCGAGGGGGCCACGAAGGGCTGCAACGGGGCCGCGAAGGGCAGCGAGATCCCGATTCCTAGCGTGAGCGCGACTCCTGGGTGCCTGAGTGTTGGGAGCGCAGCCCCGTGACTTCCCCTCATGAAAAAGAACAGGATGCGAGAACCCCCAAAAAATGATCCACCGAAGGGGGGTCTTAACGGTGTGGGTTTGTGCTTGTGTATATATATATATGCACACGTATTATGTGCATGCATGTTTGTGTATATGTGTGTATGTATGTACACACACATGTGCGTGTGTGTTTAAGCGCAACGTGCTTCTCCAGCCCGCGCAGGCGATCGGTTTCCGTCGGACTTCTGCGACGGGCGAGAGGGCTTCCCGCGGTGCGCACGTGCGGGCATCGACCGCGGGCGTGGCCAAAATGCAAGCGGAGAGCCCGCGTCGGGCACAGGAGAAGACACCGACCCGAGGGACAGACGAGGGCCCCCGAAGCTGACACGGAGCAAACGCAGGGACGCGAGGCGCACCCTGGGCGTGAGCCCCTGCGCCGCGCGGCCCCGCGGCGAGCTCCCCACCGCGAGGCCGGCCCCCGCTCCGAGGGCCCGGCGCCCGCGGGAGGGAGGGGGGGTGGAGCTGGCAGCGCTGAGGGGAAGGATGAAGCGAGGGCATTGGGGGCCAGGGCTAGACCTAAACGTTGTTGTTCGTTTTGATGTCATTTTGTGTATCGTTTTGCTCTACCTGTTGTCCTGTACCTCCCTGCCGAAACGAAATACAAAACACAGCCGAAATCCAGCACAACAGCGCTTGGGTCCAGCCCTGTTGGGGGCATTGGGTAAGGAATCCTTGGTAAGGAAAGCATGGTCCCGAAGCTGGTGGAACTCCAACCGTGGACTGGCCATGGATACCACCGCCGCCCTCGTCAGACAAGGGATCCTCCAGGGTCTGAAGCTGCCCGGGGACTCCTGAACCAGAGCCCCAACTGTAGAGGGGCGGGTACTTGCTCGCGGGGGGGAAATATCAAACTTGAATCGTCGAGACACCGCCGGTAAATCGGCGATAGGCCGCCGATGACGAATCCGCACGTTCCTGGGCGAGGTGGGCTATCTGGGCCCTTATCGGCGATGAATGGGCGATTGGAGGCCGATGCGCCCCCCACCTTGGGCCGATGCCACTCTAGCGTTGCCCATGAGGCGCCCACACGGGAATGGCGCGAGGCGGGTAGGCTTCTCCGAGGGCGGGGGGAAGGCTTCTCAGAAGGCAGGGGCCCTCTCATAGTGGTGGCCTCCGAGACTCTCATAGTAGTGGCCTCCGAGAAGGCTTACTGGAGGCTGGGAGGTCTTCTTCGAGGCCCCCCCCGCTTCCTCAGAAGGCCCCCCCCCGCCTCTTTCGAGGCCCACCCCGTGCGCGCCGCCCACGCGTGGGCGCCGCCGAAGGAGGCTTCCTGGCCGAAGCGGGTCATGGGCAACAAGGGGGAGGACGATGAGGGAGCAGGGAGGAGGAGGAGGAGGAGGAGGAGGAGGAGGAGGAGGAGGAAGAGGAGGAGGAGGAGGAGGAGGAGGAGGAGGAGGAGGGCGATGAGGGAGGAGGGAGGAGGGGAGGAGGAGGAGGAGGAGGAGAGGAGGAGGAGGAGGAGGAGGAGGAGGAGAGGAGGAGGAGGAGGGAGGAGGAGGAGGAGGGAGGAGGGAGGGGGGAGGAGGGAGGAGGAGGAGGAGGAAGAGGAGGAGGAGGAGGAGGAGGAGAAGGAGGAAGAGGAGGAGGAGGAGGAGGAGGAGGAGGAGGAGAGGATGAGGATGAGGATGAGGATGAGGCTGAGGATGAGGCTGAGGATGAGGAGGAGGAGAGACGTGGGTCCCTGGAAGCGGTTCCTTCAACGCCGGGGCGCCGAGCCACTCCGGCACTCAGGCTCCCGAAATTGTCCAGGTCGACGAGGGCGGAGTCGAAGAGATCGTCGTAGGAGGAGGAAGAGGAGGAAGAAGAAGAGGAGGAGGTGGAGGAGGAGAAGGAGGCGAGTGGTTTTCTGGTCTTGTTATCATGAGATCCTCCTTCCTCTCCTTTCTCCCCCAAGGTGCCGGGGGACATAACCACCCCGCCCCAACTTAATATTACAATTAAGGAGCGCATGTGTGCATTATGAAGGATTCTACGGAGGGAAGGGCGCCCTACGTCTACTGGGATGATCACAACTTATGGAAAACCACTGTGTGAGTATAGTAGGACATACAAAACGATATACATATATACTTTCGGAGCGCCACGCAGATTTCTTGGATCGGCGCTGGACCCCCCTTCCCCGCCGCGCGGAGCGAGAGAGGGCAGGCGCCAGAGGCCCCGGCAAGGGGTCCCAGGCGCCGATCCTAGAAATCCGTGCCGAGCTAACGAAGTTAAGGTGTATGCCGTTCTTCTTCCTCTGATCTGACAAAGAACGTCCTGGCACGAGGCGGAGAAGAGAGCACTCTTCTGCCTCCTCTCCGCCCTTTTGCCAGAGCGCTCTCCTCCGCCTCTGGCTCTTCTCCGCCTCGCCTCTCCTCTCCTCCGCCTCCGCCTCTCCTCCGCCTCTGCCTCTCCTCCGCCTCCTCTCCGCCTCCTCCGCCTCCTCTCCTCCTCCTCCGCAGGGAGAGGACGCCGCCGCACCCCGGGCGTGCAGGCCCTCAGGCCTTCGCTGGGAGGGCGGCCGCCTCCGGGCGGCCGGCGCCCTCGGGCTGCTGCTCGGGCACCTCCTGGGGGCGTCGAACCGCTGCTCGGGTCGCGCCGCGGCCGTCGGCGCCGCAATGTCGGTCGCCGGCGGCCGTCGTCGGCGGCCGTCCCCCGTCGGTCGTCGTCGTCGTCGTCGTCGCGGTCGTCGTCGTCGTCGCGGTCGTCGTCGTCGTCGTCGTCGTCGTCGTCGTCGTCGTCGTCGTCGCCGTCGCCGTCGCCGTCGCCGTCGTCGTCGTCGTCGTCGTCGTCGTCGTCGTCGTCGTCGTCGTCGTCGTCGTCGTCGTCGTCGTCGCTGTCGTCGTCGTTGTCACGACGCTCGCCACCACGACCGCAGGCGCCGCCGTGGAGGAAAATCACAAGACAGCTCGCCGCTTGGGCCCCACCGCCAGCCCAAACGGCGAGCATAAATCGGGCGTAGCCCCGCACGCATTCGAATGCCCACACTTCGTCCTCGTACTCCTCGTGTTCCTCCCCGTCCTCCTCCCCATCCTGATCGTCGTCGTCCTCCTCATCATCATCCTCCTCATCCTCCTCGTCTTCCTCGTTTGCCTCATGCTCCAGCTCCTCCTCGTCGTCCTCGTCTATCCTAATTTCTCGTCTTCCTCCTCCTGCTCATCCTCCTTCTCCTGGCACCTGTCCTCGACGCCCTCGCTGGCCCGCTTGCGGTTTTCTCTGGGGTCGGCGGCAGAGGCCATAGGTTGTGCCCTAGGTTGCGCCATGGGCTGCGCCCTAGGCGGCTGAGAATAGAACCGTCTCCTATCGGTTGGACAGAACTTGCGCCCTCGGCGGCTGAGAAAAAAACCGTCTCCTATCGGTTGCACCGTAGGTTGAGCCTCCGGCGGCCGAGAATATAACCGTCTCCTATCGGTTGCGCCATAAATTGCGCCCTCGGCGGCCGAGAATACAACCGTCTCCTACCGGTTGCGCCATAGGTTGAGCCCCCGGCGGCCGAGAATAAAACCGTCTCCTATCGGTTGCGCCATAGCTTGCGCCCTCGGCAGCTGAGAATAAAACAGACTCCGATCGGTTGCGCCATAGGTTGCGCCCTGGGCGGCCGAAAATACAACCGTCTCCTACCGGTTGCGCCATAGGTTGCGCCAATCCTTGCGCCCTGGGCAGCTGAGAATAAAACCGTCTCATTTCGGTTGCGCCATAGCTTGCGCCCTCGGCGGCCGAGAATGGAACCGTCTCCTACCTGTTGCGCCATAGATTGCACCCTCGGCGGCCGAGAATCAAACCGTCTCCGATCGGTTGCGTCATAGATTGCGCCCAGAAGGCAGAAAATAAAACCGTCTCCTTTCGGTTGCGCCATAGGTTACGCCCTCGGCGGCCGAGAATAAAACCGTCTCCTCTCGGTTGCGCTATAGGTTGCGCCCTCGGCGGCCGAGAATCAAACAACCGCGCAACGGGTACGACCAGTCAGTTCAGTTCCGTTCAGATCAGTTGAGTTCAGTTCAGTTCAGTTCAGCTCAGCCAGTTTAACTCGCGAGAAACAAATTCTGGCTACGCCCGGAAAGAAGGGCAGATCGTGTGTTCGCCGCTGGGGCGGAAGATGAACTCGTGGGTTTGGGAGGTGGCACTGGTTCTGGAGATTTAAATGAGAGCGTCCGATGAGGAGAATCTGCGTAGGACGGGGGAGCTGGAGAAGGTTACGCCGACCATTTGGGATGTTCCCGCTCGTACGGGATCCCGGGCAACCTAAAAGGTTTCACCGGAAGGAAGACATGGTGGATCATTTGCCTCCTAAATGTATGCCTCATCCTCTGGCGCATCCTCCTTATTCTGCGCAGAGGCCTTGTCCTGATCATCTTCCCCAATGCGGTGCTTATCGTGCCGGACAGTGGCATCTTGAAAAGAGAAAACAAAAGCGCACCGTGCGACCGCCGTGCACGCCATACCCGTTATTCCAAACTCCTCTGCCTCCTCTTCCTGCTCGGTCCCACTTCCTTCTCCGCATCCCCCTCCTGGGAGCTCCCTTCCATCTGCTTGCAACGCTTGGCGTGTACTGGGCCCTGGGTTATGCTGCTTCCCTCGCTTCTTGCGAAGAAGAAGAAGTGGTTGCCCCCGGCGCATCGAGCTCAACATGCGCTCATGTACTTGACCAATGCCCTAGACTGTGTTGCTTTCGAAGGCAGGTAACTGTGCCAGAATCACAATTGCCGTGGCGCCTTCGCTGCTCCCAGGACTTGTCCTGCGTGCGTTCAGACAATCATTTCGAAACGCATCCAGCAGAGGCGACGAGGAACGGGCAACAGTAGCGCTACAGATCTATTCTTCCTCTGACCCCCTCCCCCGGGGGCCAGCCCGAGCGCGGTGGCAGAATCGCGCAGCAGCGCAACCAAATATTGCCATACAGATGCTGGCGGAAGGACCCACCAGAGTCCCTGAGAGCAACAGAACCTCCCCGAGACCCCTTAGGACCACTTTTAGCCATCCCCGGACCTCCCCCTCCTCTTCCTCAGCGCGCCGCCGAGTCGGACTCCCCGACCGCTGTCGTCTCTCTCCACTGGCCTCGTCACTCTCCGACCGCTGTCGTCACTCCACCGCAGCCGTCGCCACCGCCGCCCTCGCCCTCGCCGCGGCGGTCACACGGCGCGTATCGTCCCGAACGCTCGGCGCTGTTTTACCCCGTCGAGTGTGTGCACCGTGTCCGCGGGTCCTTGCTGTGCACGGCTCCGCCCTCCTGCTCCGCGTATCGCGTGAAGGCCACGACGCTGACGAGCACCAGCAGCACGCCAGGCCAGAACGCCAGGTGCTTGGCCAGACTGAAGGACGCGTACCTCTCGAGGGGGAGGAAGAGCAGCCATAGGAGGAGGAGGAGGAGGAGGAGGAGGAGGAGGAGGAGGAGGAGGAGGAGGAGGGAACCAGACCCCCTCGCGTCGTGAAAACTGTTGACGAAAGGTTGCTGGTACTTTGCGGCCTCTGGGAAAGCTGACCTGGTCCTGGGGCTTTCAACATGCTGCACAGGATGGGCAGCTGGTCCTGAGCACAAGTGTCCAAGGTCTACGTTGTGAGAACCGACAAGCCGTGGGTCTGGAGAGAGGGAGGGGTTCAGTGAGGTATCATGGAGCTGCGGGGTCTACAAGGGCTCTACAGGGGCTTCGAAGAAGGAGAAGAACTCATATAATAAACTAAACCAAAACAAACACGGACCAGGACAAGTCAAGGATGTATGAGATCCGGCGGCTCTGGGGGATGTACTGGGCACAGCCAGTCGTCAAGAGCGATCAGGAATGCTCAGAGAGCGTTCCGAAAGCTCTGGAACTGTTTACCCCGGTCCTGGCCCCGCCCGAAAATCCAAGAAAGGTTGTAAGGGGCCCCGGGGCACTCTCGGAACAGGATGCCGCCAACGACGAGCTGGAAGACCGTGCTCAGGGACTGGTACACCGGTATCACGAACGACGCCTGCCCGTGCTTGAGCGCCTCGTGCAGGAAGTAGAGGCCCAGCGGCCCGCAGAGGCACGTGCCAGCCATCCACAGGTAGAACTGGTACTCGATGTTGAAGCTGGCCGCCGATACGGCATCCTTAGGGTGATCAGCTTCTGAAGGTCCGCGCTGATCTCTTGGATCTGCGCTGGACCCCCTCCCTGGCGCGCGGAGCGCGCCAGGGGCGGCGCTGGAGGCAACGCCAGGGGGCGTCCAGCGCAGATCCAATAAATCCGCGCGGGCCTTCGAAGGTGTAAGCTTGATGTGGCTTGTTCTTCTTGGGATCCTGCATTATGATCGACGTGCACTTCGCAAAGAGGACGGAGTACGTTGCGAAGATCGCGGCCACGGTAGACACCATCGAGACGATCACCGGGGACCACGGGGTGCACTTGCGCCACCAGCAATAGTTAATCAGGGACACGCCGAGCAAAGTTCCGCAGGTTATACAGCATGCAGTGAAAGGGAACTGAGCGAAGAGAAGATTGATTTCCTCAACTGTGTCCAATCGGTAAGACCTAGGACCGAGGCATGCCACCCACACACACCCTACCACCAGCATGGCAGCGCTCATTACAGCGACGGCTGAGACACGTTCTCCATACCGCATCGCTCCCAATATTGGGCCCATGACGATGTTCCAGCTGTTTAGGCAAGCCAACACGGTATTGGGAGCAATTCCAAGGGCGATCCATCCCAGAAAGCTGCCGACAAGATACAGCGAAAGGCCTGCCATAAACTTCCACCCCAGCCAAGATGGCACCCAGGAGGACACCTTGCCACTGCCTTTTTCCACTTCGGTGCCACCTGCACGTTTCAGGGTCTCGTTCTGGAGCAGGAGGCCGCACACTGTCATCGTCGAGCCGAGCAGTGACAGCGGGATTCCCAAAAAAAGGGGACCCAGATTGCCAAAGAAGGTCGCCAGGGAATTCCATGGCTCCAGAGGGGAGCCCCAGAGGCCCCCGCGGGATATCGACGCCACAGACGACGTTCGCTGCAAACTCTTACGTGCCAGCATTGAGACATGGCTCTGCAAGAGCACAACCATCGCAAATGTAGAAGGGGCGGCCAAAGCCTGAGAAGTTACATAACCCCTACATTCGATACCTGATCGGCACCTGGACAATTTTGAGACGAAATGGATGTGGGATCGCACGCAGTCCAGCCGCGATGGATGAAACAAAGAGGCAACGACCAACCACCAATGTGTTCAGAGCGATGCAGCATGCAGCTCGAACAACAACAACCGATCTAAACGAACAATGCGCTCATAGACTCGTAGATGCCCAATTTGCCCTCCCTGGCCAAACGCCGTCTTGACCCACCTGACACCGCCACGGGCAACGGGCTCGGCACGTTAGAACATAACCTGACACGTTATCGCTAACTTGACGCCAGCATGCCCGGCACTCGCCAGGCACTCGCCACAGGAAAGATCCAAGGCGTAAAACGCCCCCTCAGACACCGAAGTCGCAACAAAAAACACGCCGGTGTTGCGCAAGTCACGATGTCAGAGGCATGGGATGTCGTCTGCAGCCTCGGAATGGCACCATGCGGAACCCTGTCTGCCTACTGTGCTCAACAGCGCAGCGTTTTCCCCTTCACTCGAGTATGGAAACGACTACAACATTAATTTACCCCAGAATTGAATTTCGTTTGTCGAACCTATGAAACATGCGCAGAATGTTACATAGATCTACGACCATTCCACGTACATGTTGTAGATCCGACGGGAAACTAATTCTGGGGTAAATCTACTATGTAGCCCATCTCCTATTCGATCCACTCCTCCCTCACCCAGCCTCGCACAAGGAGGCGCCCTTCCTGGCCCTCCTCCTGCGGGCAGCCTGGCACCACGTGGCACCCATCCCCCCCTATCGACGGCGCAGCACCCGAGGAGACGCCGTCGGCAGAGAGGCGCGCAGGGCGAGGCGCCGCGAAGAGGGTGGGTGGGGTAGCAGAAAGAGTACTCTCCTTCCTCCTCCTCCTCCTCCTTCTCCTCCTTCTCCCTATCGAAGACGAGGCCAGGACGAGAATAACACCGGGTGAGGGTAGATCGGGGACCTCTGAGATCCGGCGGCTCTGGAGGATTTCTCGGGCGCCGCGGCCTTCTCAGAGCGTTCAGGGACACCCTGAAACCTTTTCAGAACGCCCTGGAACGGATCAATCCTCGTCCTAGCCCCGTCCGAGAGCACCCATCGTTTCTGGAGGGAGGAAAAGGAGATGCGACATTCCAGCAACACAGTGAGGCCAGTGAGATGTGTTAAACCTGCCTCTGTATGCGCGCGCAGCAGGCACCGTACAATGGGCGGACATGCGGGCAGTTGTAATACACAGGCGATCAAGTATACAGCCACCTAGGATCGATGCATACGCCCTCTCGGCTTTGCCAGAGAGGCATACTGGAGGCCTCCCAGTTGGGGAGTTGGAGTTCAAACACCGCCGATGCATCGGAGGGGTATCGGTGACGTCGACAACGCATCGGCGACGTCGGCGTGGCGCGGAAAACATCTGGTTTCACATCGAACCGCATCGTCGATGCTCCGGCGTTGGCGCGCGATCCTCCCACCTCCCGCCCCACCTGCTCGGCAGCGCCCGCGGTCGCGCACGGGCGCGGGTGTCGCTTCCGGCGGAGCACGCCGGGCGCGGGGCGCGGGACTAGGTGGAAGAGAAGAGGGCGGCCGCGGAGGAAGCGGGCAAGGCCCAGCCGCCGAGAGTCGGCGAGCGAGCGGTGCGCCGGCGGCCTCAGGCGCGAGGCCCGGGCAAGCGCACCGATGCCGTGCCCAGGATGGGCCCAGCCAGGATCGGTGCAGCGTGCGCGCGGAAGGCGCGCTCGGCGCCGGCGCTCGTGATGGCGAGGGCGAGGAGCACGAGGATACGGGGCCACTCCGCCTCCTCCTCCTCCTCCTCCTCCTTCTCCTCCTCCATTCCTTTTCCTTATACATAGTTTCTCCCTGTCGCACCCCGAGGCCAATTTTCAAGGCGGGCTGGGCGTTTCGCCTGAGACTTCCTCACCGCTTATGGCTCTGAAGCTTAAAAATGTGCAACCGCTTCACAGATGGAGGGCGGGCCGTTTTCAAAATGTGGCTCTCGCCAAAGCGCCGCGCACATACGGGTAAAATTTGCAAGAGCTTCACGGATTGAGGGCGAATCGTTTTCAAAATGTGGCTCTCGCCTTAGCGCCGCGCGCATTCGTTTATAATATTTGCAAGAGTTTCACGGACTCCCAGGATCAACACACCAGAAACTGTGTTTCGGATTCAAGATTGCGCGGATGCAACAGTAACAATGATTCGCGGTGTTGAAGTCCCATGGATGGCGTTCTGGCGCAATTCTGGATCGTCAAGACGCAACAGTCAGGTTGATCCGTGGCGCTGGAATCCCGAGAATTCCTCAATGGGAGTGAACCGTTGTAGGGGCCTATGAAGAGGGAGTTCGGAGGAAGGGTTTATTCCAACATCGTTGATGGTTCTTGGGTTTACACTGGTCCTCCTCCTCCTCCTCCTCCTTCTCCCCCTCCTCCTCCCCCTCCTCCCTCTCCTACCACTCATCCTCACCCCCTCCTCCTCCCCCTCATCCCTCCTTCTCCCCCTCCTCCCCTCCTCCCCCTCCCCCTCCCCCTCCCTCCTCCTCCCTCCTCCTCCTCCTCCACCACTCCTCCTCCTCCTCCTCCTCCTCCTCCTCCTCCTCCTCCTCCTCCTCCTCCTCCTCCTCCTCCTCCTCCTCCTCCTCCTCCTGTAGGGCACACCATGGGCGGACCCGTGGGCGAGCCACACCCACTATTATGATAGGGCAAGCAAGGGGGTCTTTTATCCTTGATGACACACCTCCTCCCCCGAAACGCCGACCTCGGCACCTCCAATCTGCACTCGATCGATCGGTCTGGTCGATGGAAACGTCTGCCAGCGCCCATCTGTTGCAGAACTCTCATCGCCCGACGGGCCCCCAGAATCCCGACCCTGACCCCGGGGCCGACTTCTCATTCCGAGCCGCTTTCTGACGGCCAAGGGGCCCGGAGAGGGCCCCTGGAAACCAACTCGAGGAACACTGTAGGCGTCAGGGGGTTCTGAATTAGACGGGGCCCGAGAGAATCTGTCAAGAAGGGAGGATCAAGCCCAATCCGCTCAAACTCAATCCTTGGACCCCTCACGGGGCCAATCCGGTACAACTTTTCACTCGGGATCCGTTTGTGAGGGCCCCCGTGCCCGAAAACGGACCCCGGAGGCCGAAAAGGCAAAACACACCTTCTCGAACCCCAAATCTCGAACCTCGTTCCCCCCTTCCTGCTGGCCGCAGCCAGTGCTGGGCCACCTCAGACCCCCAGCCGGCTCATGGAGGAAGACCCCCGTTATGGTTCATGTTTTCTCTAACCGCTAGATGCCTGGGTCTGGCCTGGATCGGTGCCCGTGCGTCTTAACTGCCCCGATACACGCAACGCGCAACACGTAGCGCACTGATACGCGATTCGACAGGTAGACTGAAAACGCACGCCTGGCGCGATACGTTCGCCAAGCCGTGGGCCAATACGCTGTACCAGCGCGCAGCGTGTTGTTACGGACTTTTTGAGCACGGCACGTGATGCGTTTCAGACTGGGCGTGTCGAGGCAGCGACGCCGTGCTTAGCTCCTCTCCGCCCGAAGGGTGGCAGCGCACGCGAGCGCGCCGCGCGCCTGCAGCTCGAAGGCCAGCTCGGCCGCCGCCGCGTCGAGGCCCGCGGCTTTGTGCCTCGCCGCCGGCCCGCCAGGATCCGCGCACGCCGCCGCGGGGGCCGCCGAGGAGCCGCCGAGGGGCCGCCGAGGGCCGCCGAGGAGCCCGCGCGCCTCGGGAGCATCGCGGCCGCTGCGACCGCCGCTGGGCCCGACGACCGCCGAGCTGGCGCCATGCCGAGAGGTGGAGAACATGCAATCATCGCGCTGCCAGAAGGAACGCTAACTGAGGGACGAAGGGGCTCGTCTGGCCACGGCCAGCCTCGGCCACGAGGGAATCCCACCAGCCCTCTGGGCGTCGGTGGTTTAGGGAGTTTCCTCTTCCACCCCTCCTTCTTCCCCTTCGGGGAGGGGTTTACCCCTCCCCCTACCCCCTCCCCTGGACCTGACCAGGGGGTCTCGCGAGGTGTCAGGGCGTCCAAAACGGCCTCGGCGAGGAAGCCAACATCATCGGTTTTACTATGGTTTTGGCCCCATTTTGGCCTCCTGCGGGGGGGACCCTAATCAAAGCTCCCCACTTGTTCGATCGATCTCCTCCAAGATGGCCTCAAGAGGCGCCCAGTAGGCCCCAAGAGGCCCCAAGATGGCCCCATGATGGCCCCATGATGGCCCCAAGAGGCCTCCAAGAGGCCCCAAGAGGACCCCAAGCGGCCCCAAGAGGCCTCCCCGAGGCACCCAGGACGCCCAAGAGTCCCTCAGGACGGCCCTCTACTCGCCTGGGCGTCGTTTCTGGATGGGCTGGTGGGGATGCGCGAAGCGTCTAGAATTCCTGGACCTAGATCGAAGGAACGGCCCAGGAAGCGGAGCCCCTCCTGAGCCCAGAGCAGTCCTTACTTCTGCGTCTTGACTGCCCGTGCAGCTGGACCCCCCGACGCCCAACGCCTTGACAAAATCGAGCTGGACATCTTCTTCATCGTCTTCGGCCCCTGGTGGCCGGTCTGGGGCCCGGGGGCATGAACAAACCATACGCTGGATGAGCAACCGGGTCTTGGGAAGGGCCGGGACACCTAAGGAGCCCGTACTGAACAGAGACAGGACATCGGATATTTCTGGGCTCGCCATGTGGAACAGATGGAGCCCCTTGCATGGCATGCGGATGGCCCGTTTACCATCCCACACGACTGCCGAGCGGTGGGAAGGTCTGCGTCCA